CCCCAACCTCCGTCCGTCGCAGTCGCAGTCGCACTTTGCGGCTACTTGAACCTTTCAAAGACATCGACGTTCCAAAGGTCGCTCACAGTCGCATCTTTTTGTGACGCGACGGCTCAATCCAGACAGAGCATTACGAGTTTTTTTTTTTTGCATCGCGTGCATCCGGCAGGTCTCCTCTTTTTCCAGAAATCAATCCCAATTCGGAAATTCGGATAGCCGCTGCTACGCGCCCACCGCCCACCGCCCACTGAGGTGCTGACCGCTGTACGGAGTAAATGCATGACGATTTATTTTTCCGACGAGAGCTTTTTTCGCGCCGTGAAATTCTCCCTCCTGTTGGCGCGAGGCAGAGCAAGTCAATTCCAACATCGCACTTGCCAACCTTGACCTCCCACCAACACCACCCCAGTCTCCCTCTCTCCACCGCGAATGCGAATTGCCATGCTCCTTTCGCCCTTGCCCACCGACTCGACTTACCCAGATTTTTCCAGTTTGCACCTTCCACATTCTAGCGCACCAAGCTAGAGGCAACCTTCCTCCGCATTTGTTGAAAGGACTGGCAATCAGAAGCACCATCGCGACTACATACTTGCCCGCCACCACTCCCTGCTCTTGATTTTGGGCTGAACTCTTTCTTTGAACGTTCGAGTACCTCTTTGTCACAGTTCACAAGGTACCTTAGGAGGTCCAGCAGTCACAGTCGCAGGTACTCGCCATGAACAATTACTACCCTTTCGGGTACCCGCCGTACCCAGGCCAGCCGCCTGCTCAACAGCAACCGCAGCAGCAGCCCTACTCCTATCCGATTGCGCCGCCTTTCGCACAATATCCTCAGCACACCGAAAACACCTATGATGGTGTCATGCACTCACAGCCCTCGTACGAGCAGAGTCAAAACATGATTCCTGGCCTTGGCGGCTACGGCCATCTCCCTCAGCTTCCTCAGCTTCCTCAGCTTCCTCAGAGCTTTGGTTGGCAGCAACCCCAGCAGTCGCAGGAGCAGCAGCCGGCTCTCCAACATCACTGGCAGCCCCCGAGAGAGGGTCCCAACCTCATCCCGGCATCGCAGTACTATCACTCCGACCAGGCCCCGAAGCCCAAGGCCCCCGTCGCCTCTGGCGCTCTCCCTCCTACCGCGCCGAAGCGATCTACGAAGCAAACCTCCAACGATGCCGAGGAAGGCGAGCTTTCTGACGGCGAACTCGATGACGTGTACGAGCCTCAGGAGATCCTTCCGGAGGCAAGCTCACGCCAGCAACGCCAGAACATTCTGCACGCCGCAACTGCAAATGCGCGCAATGGCAAGACCAGCGCCGTGTATCCCAACGCCAGCTCCTATGGTGGTTCAAGAGATGGTGGGATGAAGCGTCCTGCAGTGGCCGGTGGTGATGGTGCGTATTCCTATTTTAAGAAGACTTTTGCCGGTTTAGAGCTAACACTCAGCAGATCGAGAGCATTCTGGATCGTACTCCCCCCATTTGTCTCCTCACGAAGTTCACCCACGCACGGCTGCCAACAATCAAAACGGCACTTCCTCCTCACAGCTGCATGCTTCTAGTGGACAGTTCAATCAGCCTCTCGCAACGGGTGCCGGTCAGCAACAAGGCAAGAATGCGGTCGAAGAAGCTCGGCAGAGGGCTCAGTCCGCTATTGGCAACCTCTGGCCTCTGGGTGTCCGCCGCCAGGACTTTGTCGATGAGGGCATTGACAAAACCATCGTCGACAACCTCTTGACTGACTTGAAGCTGGATACCAAAGCGCCCAGTCAATTCTCCATCCCAGGCCTTTCCACTGCCACGACCCTGCCCGGGCTCTCATATGCCTCTGGTCAGCCTGCATCTCAACAGGCCAGAACGGCAGGCGCAGCGTTGCCCCCGAAGCCCCCAGCTCAGCAACAGTCATCACCTTCGGCAGTGAAGTCGGCTGGAGAAGAGAGAAAGGATCGAATTGCTCGCCTTTTGGCTGCAAAGGGTGCAAAGGCAGCAGCATCTTCATCCACCACCACTGGTGCACAAGCTGGTACGCCGAACGATAAGGAGCTCGTCCAGCAACAAAAGAAGGATGCTCTGCAAAAATCCCGTGAAGCCCGTGCTCAAAAGGCAGCGGAGCGCAAGGGCTCTTTGCAATCCTCTCAGTCAAAGGAACCTTCCCCAGTTGAACCTCCTCGCAGACCTCAATCAGCAATTGCCAACGTGCCAGTTGTAGCGCCTGCTGCAAATCAACTTGCTCGGCCCAATGCCCTGCAACAATCAGCCGATCGTCAGACTGCTCCAGCTTCGGCCATTCCTGGTCTTTTCACATCTGCTCCACAGCCTGCGCCTCTCATCAGCCAGCGCAAAAGACCTGTCGCATCCGACTTCGTGGCCAATACTTATGCCAATAAACGCCCATTCGGTAATACTCAGCAAGACACTCGGTTTGTCATTGATGTTAGTGACGGGTCCGATGACGAGGATGTTGAGATGGAGATTGGGTCTCCCACAGACGAGCCGTCAAGCACTCAGCAAGATACGCCCTCTCTTAGACCGGCGTCTTTCCGCGACTTTCCGCCCCTGTCTAACGGTCTCCCTCAACGCCAGCTTTCGAGCCCTGCTCCGAGCAACATCACTACTCCTCAATCCGGCGCTGTAGGCCAGCCAAAGCAAGCTCATATCGATGTCATGGATAAGCAGATCGAGGCCATGAAGCGCAAGATTGCCTTGGCCGAGGCTCGCGCCAAGCTCAAGGCTGCCATGGGTGATAAGTCGCTTGGCCAGAAGTCGGCGGGCCAGACACCAGATACTGCTCTTGATTCGGATAGCGGCAAGCCAAGCATGCGCAGAGTCCAGTCAATGGGTGATTCCCATGTATCTGATCCGCCCAACGGCCATCAGTCGCCCGCGATTGCCGAGCCCAGCAGTTCACTGCGCTTGCCCAAGCCGTCGGACAACCGCATGCAAGGCGAATCTAGCCGTTCTCAGAGGCTCCGGACTGTTAGCACCAATCTTCCGCTCCTCGAGAACAGACTTCAGACGAAGAGGAGCAAGCTCCGCCTTCTGCAGATTCAAATGTCTCGTTTAGAGCAAGAGATTCAGGAAGAGGAGACTGAGAAGCAGAAGTTGACACAGGAGATGGAACAGCTCGAACAGGACTCGGATGAGTCGTCTGAGCCTCAGAACCAGTTGAAAAGCAACTCCGGTAAGTCCTCATTCTCAAAAGGATTGAAATAGATCGAATATTAACTGAATAAAGTCGATCCAGTTGTCACTACAACGTCCACAGGTCCTCAGCCCGAGTTGCCGGCTCCTTTGCCTGCTGCCGCAGACGCTGAGCAGAGTTCCAGCAAAGTGGCTGAACAATCTGATGCTGCAAGCGTGCGTCACAGCAAGTCTCCTGCAATGAGTCTCGACAAGGACATTTCCAATGCGGCAGATGTCGAAAATGCGGTCACTGGTAAAGCCGCAGCAAGCCCTTCGCAAGCCCCACCTTCCACAGAGACCCCCATGCCTGCGCTTCATGAGACTCCCAGCAACCCTGAGACTGTGGGTGATGATGATGAGTCGCAGCCAATCACTAGTGATGATGCCTCCGATGTTGCCATGGCCGAGTCCGATGACTCCAGCTCCTCCGAGCAAGAGCCTGAAGACGACCACGAGCCCGCTGAGAATGTTGTTCCGGCAGTTGCCACGAAGTCTCCGTCCATCAGCCCAGTCGCAGCAGATAGCACTGTTTCGCTTGTCAACAGTGACACTGACTCACAGCAAATGAGTGCCAGAGCCTCACAGATCCCCGAGCAGATCTCGCTGGGAGTCAACGAGTCGACCCCTGAGCAGGGTGTCAACGCCGTGAGAGAAGTACATTTTGTTTAGCGCCAAGGAAGCGCTTCGATTACTAACTTGATTGCTAGGCCCCGCTTGCTACACAGAGCACTGATGAGGCATCATCGTCTGGAGAACGCTTCACCCCTTACGAGAGTCCACTGCAGTATTTCCGTGCTTACCGATACCATCCCAAGTTTGCTGAAACCGTCCCTGGCGGGCTTCGGTCCCTCACCTACAGCAACAGGATTGATCCGAACCTGCCCATCTGTCCAGACCAGCTAGCCAGCCGGGACTGCCCTCGGGGTGCTGACTGCATTTTCCAGCATTTCGAGTCCATGAAGCTGCCGGGTAGGTCGCCTTCACCCCGCAAGGACTAATAACCACGTTGCGTGTCCTCGAGGCATGTCGAGCGCTGACGGTCGCTCCTCCGCGCTTTAGACGACCAGATTCTCCTCCAGTTGGGTGGCACGACCCTGGAAGGCCCCGAGAAGACGCAGTTCAACGATGGCTTGCGCAAATTGTTGCAAGAGATGAGATCCCAGAACATCAAGGACTTCCCCAGCATTGCAAAGGGCATAGTCGATTACCGCAACCGCTTCAATGGCGACCCGTCAAAGATCCTGCCTCTTGGCAATGTTTCCATCTGAATGGCGGAAGAGACACGAGCTTGATGAAGCTTCGTTTGTATCTCCCCACGTCCACATCGATTGGACTGTTTGAGTATTGGCTCATCCCCTTCCCTTTCCTTTGGCATCAGAAAATTTTGTTTCTTTCCCTTGGTCTTTACACACATACCCACCGCATACCTCTCAGCGGAGGCCCTTTTGGCCAGCTGAAAAGAGTCTTGGGCGGCGTTTGCGAGATACCCCCTCCTTGCGTTATTTTCAGAAATGATTCGGCCTGAGGCAATCAGGAGTGAGGCACAGGTACAATGGAAAACGGCAAGTAGGCAAGAAAAAAATAGTGTTGGAAAAGAGTGGTTGAGATCACTCCCATGTTTGAGTTGAGATTACTGAGGGATAGCAATGCCTTTGAGTTGCTTGCTATCACCTCGAAAGAGCTGTTCAGGTGACCCGAACTGGGTCGTACGTATTCAAATCAAACTCGATTGTTTTCATCTCTTGCTCATGGCTACTTTATGTGATGATGATGCGCCAATATGTCATTGTTGAGAACACAATAGAAAGGTACTTTTCTTCGGTACGCTAAGTACAACTAGATTTATTTCTAAGGGAAATACAGTCGTGTTTCAATTACGTACTGACGACCCCGAATTCTGCATGCCACTGATTACACTCTCGTACCCCGCCCGAAAAGCCACCTACTCCCAGCTATGTAGTATTGACTACCAAGGCAGGTTGAACAGAAGAAGAGAGAGAAAGAAAAAGAAGAAAAGAAAGAAAAGAGAAGAGGAGAGGAGAAGAGAAGAAAAGACAAAAGAAGAATAGTATGAGAAATGGAAAAGGAAAAAGAAAGCCATTCATCCATCATACTGAGCTTTTCTAGCAAAAATAAAACAATAAAAACAGAAGCGATAAAAGGGGTAAGCAGTCGGTCTATACTACTGACGCTTGAAGCATGGGGGAAGCGTCTGGAACAGTACTACATGCTTACATGCTTTTTGGGAGAAAAAGATACAAAGACGTTTGGAAAACTTGGCATAATCCCAACCCATTAAGCAGTCTCAATAGAGCTCCCGTTGCTCTTCTCATACGAATCAAAGTTGACCAACCTCGGTCCCGAAATGATCCTCCTGCGCCTCTTTGGGACGCCAGCCGTACGATCAGCCGGCGGCGCAAACAATTGCGAACCGCACAGCGCAGGATGGAAGAAATTCAACCCCACGACAGAAACGACAATCATGACGCCCTCGAACGCGATGAAGAGATCCTGGCGCGCCATCAGGGGCCCCGTCCAGCCGCCGCTGAGCTCGATGACGCGGAAGACGCAGCGGATGAAGATGCAGACGGTGGACACCGCCAGCGCGCCCAGAAACCCCTTGAAGCGCGAGGAGCGGCGGAGGCGGACCATGTCCGGGTGGTTGTCGAGGGCGCACGAGAGGTTGGGGAGGTGGGCGTGGCGGGAGGCGCGGTAGGTGCGCAGGGCGAAGTCGGCGGCGACGAGCATGAAGGCGAACATGGTGAAGACTTGGAAGGCGAGGCCCGCGATCATGACGGCGTCGCCTTTCGCGGTGGGGAGGTCGCGTTTGGAGGCGACGGAGGCGAGGGCGCCGCCTACGGCTTGGAGGGCGAGGGAGATTAGGTCGCAGGGGATGAACTGGGTTTGTTAGCTTTGTCACTCTCGCAGTATCTTGATATAAGAGAGTCACTTACAATCCTGGTGTACCACTTCGGCGGGATCCTCGAGTTCTTGGGCCCAAACGCCGTGACGATCCGCCGCAGACAGAGATAGATGCCCGCGGCGAGGAACGCGGGACCGACAGTCAAACAGCAAACCTGCACCAGGAAAGGATTCTCGTTCCACTGGTTCTTCCAGCTGAAGATGCGCCCCGCGTACCCAATCATCTCGGACACGATGCCCAGCATCATGGCGACGCTGAACAGGTTCGCCCGGCGCGTGCGGTACATGGTATACGCGAACCCGCAAAACGACAGGAAGAACAGGACGAGGAAGACGACGTTGGCGGCGAGGGAGACGCGGTACGAGTAGAAGGAGATGACGCCTTCCTGGCAGTACTCTAGGTCGGGCTTGAGGAAGCAGAAGGCGGGGAGCCAGGGTGCAAAGTCGATTTTGAGCTGTTTGATGACGGCTTCGGGAGGGGGGTTTTCTACGCTGTAGCCCGTGGAGGCGAAGATGTGGTTTAGGATGCGGTCTGGGTCGACGGTTGAGGGGTCTTTGTGGGCGTCTTGGACTATCTTCATCATTTTGTCGTAGTCCATCTTGGGCTGGGGTTGGCCGCGGTGCTCGCGGTGTGTGTGATGAGAGGGGAGATGGATGGGATGGATGGACAAGGAGGGGGGATGGGAAAGGGGCAATGGGCCGGAAGGGGGGCTTCAATGTCCTTTCAATGGCAGAATAAGACAAGGGGAATGATGGCGAAACTCTCCGAGAGAGAAATACATATCGAGAAAGAAGAGGGAAAGAGCCGGGAGGTATGATATACCTCCAACCCCTCAGGGTAGACGGGAGCGATACTCTTTCGTGGGGGGACAGATATCGTGATTGAGCTCGTCTTGGGAGCAGTTGACCTTGGGGTTAGGTCAGGGGCAAATCACAACTTCACACGGGGCAAACGCTCCCCGTTCCATGTCCTCATCACTTTTACTTGGTCCATCTCCCCGACATATGAGGAACCCTTTCGGTGTCATCTCGTTCGACTTTGACAACGTTTGGGGTCTAGACACTTACACATGGCGCGGCTCGCCATGCAGGGAAAAGACTTAAAAGTCGGGGGGGATAGAAGTGTAATGCTTGTGAGGTCGAGCAGGCAAAAGAACAGTGCATGTTGAATAATTCGCTCATCATAGTGCTTTAGGTAGCTCCGTCATCTATGACAGTTCGTGGCGTCCCGAATAATTGAACCCGTATTGATTCGGGCTGAAAATAGTTCTCCGGGATATGCCTACACTCCCATCAAGGGGAAGAATGTCTCGAGAATCTTCCATCAAAGATGAGACTTGCTGTCGGCCTGGAACTGGGTCTGTTCGAATCATCCCAGAAGCGCCATAACAGATGCCGTTCTTGTTACCATAATTACATGCGTGATCAACATGGGTAAATCGAAAGCATTCATACTTAATCTGTCAAATCGCTTCAAGTAACCAGGGACGGCGAGGTTACAAGGGTGTTCGTCCAGACTCCCCTAGTCTTGAGCTTAATCCAATTTTCTACGTAGTTCTCCGCAATCCACAAGGTAACTGATCCTATCGGCCCGCAACACAGATATACTTTTGCCAGGTGAGGGGGAGCTCCCGATCGATGAGCACGTGCAGAGGTTGCATCAAACAATGAGCAGGAAAGCTTTGGCACTTGGCTCAATTATTGAGGTGCGCGTCTTGAATTGTTGGGTACAGACGTGGTGGAAGACCTCAGAAATGATAGAGACAAGTGAAACACTAGGAATCAGTTCGCCGTCTGGTCCAATCAGGGCGAGTACGGTGAATACATTACACTACAAAAGATGTGCTGTTTTGCCGCCTTGGTCCAATCCATATCCTACACCTCCGAAGCCCTTGACATCCAAGGCCTACGGCGCAACCGTCACGCGCTTCTTCTTTTTCCCACCGGTCTTGCTCTCATCAGGAAGCCCCTTGGGATCAATGGGATTCTTCGTGACCACGCCGCCCAGGGCCTTACTCGTCCCGAGACTGATACCCCGTCCCTCGCGCATACTATCCAGGCTCAGGTGGCTGCCTCCGCTTCCGCGCCGAACGCCGATGCCCTTAAGCTTGGACGTTGGAGACTCGCGGTGGCTCAACGAGCTGTCCGGTCGCTCTTCGCCTTCGGCCGCGCGGCTGGATGGCCTATCTGGAGAGGGTGACGGCGACTCGTCGTCGGCTGCAACTTGGGAGTATGGAGTACGCAGGCGGGTGGTGTTATACGGGGAAGGGATCCCAGAAGGACGGTCACGGGTCTTATTTTGGGAAGTCGGTCTCTCCACAGTCTCAACACCGTTGCCGTTTCGGCCCTCATCCACAGCATTGGAGGCTTCGCTGGCAGAGACATCGCCAGAAACATCGCTATCTCTATAAGCGTGCCTCTTGTATGCATTCCCGGAGCCCATAAGACTCTCTTGTCTTGCCAGCTGGTAGCGGTCGTATTCCTCCTTGGTATGTTGGGCATCGGTGAAACTGTCGAGAGCATCGAAAACGTGAGGGAACACCTGGACGTTGTTGTCTTTACCCCATAGGAAGTCGAGGTGCTCATAGTGAGGGATCTCGGTGGCGATTGTCTGGGTGGGGAGCTCCTTGAGCATGACTTTGATGTCGACCAACGAATCGCTACCGCCGTAAACAAGAACGATGGGCGTCTTGATATTGCGTGTGGGGTATTTGGCGACCTTGGTGTACTTGCTGGAAGAGCTTATCGACATGGGCGGGTGGACATCGTCATCGTACATTTGGAACGACTTGTTCCGAATGATCTGGAACCAGTGAACCACACTCTTTGTGCTAGTGAAGGAGTACAGATGAGGATACGCCGCAAGCTTTTGGCTGAGTGTGATGTTCTTCGTCTGCCAATTGAACAAAAAGGAAAGACCCATATCGATGACTCTAACAAAGATGGGCGGGTAAAGAATGGACTGCCACATGGTGGCGGAGCTGAGGATGGATCGGCGGCCGAAGAGGAGGAACAGAACCTGGGGTGAGGCTTTAATCAGAGCGTCGACGATTCCGTTCGAAAGACCTGCTGGCGACATGGCCGGCGCCAAGGCAATGAAGACATTGACCTGCTGGTTCAGCTTGGGATGGATAGCAAGGGTGGCAAATGCCTGCGCGGTCCCCTGAGAGAAGCCGATGTACGACAAGCTCTCCTGCGAAGTTGTCTCTAGGATGTACGAGATGCTGTCCGGGATATCGTGGAAGGCGAATTCGTCGATGGAAAAGTTCCAAAAATCAGTCGACTTGGGCGAGTGATGCACCGACTTCTTGGAGTACTTGTTGCCGCGGTTGTTGCCAAGCTACAGAGATAATCAGCAAAGGCGCGCTCAAGTTATCGCAAGGCAAAACACCGACCCAGACATCATAGCCCTTCTCGACGAGCACAAAAGGAAGACATCGCTGCTCGTCGGTCAAGCATACCCACACCTCGGAGTTCATGAGCAGCCCATGGTGTAGGTACAAGACCTTCTTCTTCAGACTTCCCGGTCCGCTGTTGATCTTTTGTTCCTCCTCGCCCTTCTTCCATGCCAGGCGGTGCAGACCGAGCAAGTATCCATCCTTGGTCTGGAGGACATGCTCTTCAGCTTCATATCCGTACAGGCGGCAAAGATCCACAAAGTCGGAGGCGTCTCGCACGGAGGTGGAGATGGCTGCGCGGTATCACTAACGGTTAGCGCAAGGTGAATCACACAGATGGAGGTCAGAATAGCCGCCAGAGAGAGACGAACATTTCTTTTTTTGCTCGGCGCGCTTCTGTTCCGGAGTCGAATATCGGTTAAATAAGCGACGGGAAGCTCTATAGAAGAGCGAGATGAGCGGCGAAGCTGTAGGGAAACCGGGTTAGCTAGCTTGGACGCCACCGCTCGGAGGGAGGCGCATTTCGTACGCAGAGCCAAGGTCAGGATACGGATGATAGCCTCGAGCCCGACAAGTAGGAAGGACCCCACTAGAGCTACATATTCGACGCTGCGCAATGCCGTTAGTGCCAGGCCAAGTCTTATTCGCGAGTTGTGCTGCATTGGAGAGGGAGCTCGAGCTTGAGCGACGGTAAACACCGGGAAAAGGGAGGAAAGGGAGAGAAAGGAAGGAGGACAAGACGGCAAATACGGGCAGAAGGCATCTCTTACATGTTCAATCGCCCAATGAAAGGGATAGCCATCGTGGTTGCGCAATTGGAACGAGATTAATCTAACGTAGAAGCCGTGGCGCGGCAGGAACGAGTATGTCTAAGAGAGAAAGAAGAAGAAAAGGTTGCAAGGGGATCTCAAGCCATTATCGCTGAATGCGCAGACGACGAAAAGCTTAAGTGATTTGACTGCTGCGTAAGGTAGTTTCTCGACTGGCAATGGCTGGAGGCAAGAATGTGTGTCAGCGGAACGAATCTGGAAGTTGAGTGGTCCGCGGTGTGTGGGAAGTCTGAGGTTTCCAGAGGGAAGAAGATGTGCAAGGTGAACGAACCTACCTACGGTGCCTTACTAGGTAGGTACTACTAAGGTAGTAAGGTGAGGTATCCGTACCTTGAGTGATGTCACATGTGAGGATGGATGGCATCCCATCTGGGCGGGAAGCTCCCAAAAAGGTCCAGGTCCAAGGTCACAGCACACCTTCCCGACTTCTCCCACGCGGCGCCACGACTCCTTGGGCCTCCTTGGCCCCTCTTGTGCTCCCCAAATCATTCCAATCAACCGATCTGACAGTGTGTCAGTGGCAGGGACGCTGGCGTGTGAGCACGCGGTTGGACGGAGGAGCCCGCATCCTTGCCAACTTGCTCCCCCAAAGTGGGGTTTTCTTATTGAAGGACTGCAGGGACATCCAACTCTAGCGGCCCTGCTCTTTGCCTCTGCGACTCTCGCACCTTGCAGAACACCGCTGCACAAAGGTGGGGTCTTATCCTCTCCACTTTGGCCAATCACAGCTATCATGTTTTTTTTCCCCTTCTTCCCCGGGCCCCGGGGGACCGCTCATCGCAAACTTGAAGCTCCGACAGGCGACAGCTCCCAGATAGTCGCACCACTTCCGTGTACTCGTCGTCTTCAAGGTACAGAGGGAATGCCAAACCACCGTCACCATGCCTAGCTCTTGCAAAGAACTGCGTACGTTCCACTCATCCTTCCACTCATTCCACGACTAGACGGCATGCTGACCCTTTTCCCCAGGCGAGGCTCTCGCGCAATGCCTCCAGGAATCCGAGTGCGTCATGGTCCAGCGCAACAGCGCCTCCGACTGCCTCCGATCGCCCCTCGTCGAGGGCCTCCCCACAAAGTGCCAGCAGCTGAAAAAGGGTTTCGGCGAGTGCAAGCGCGGCATGGTCGACATGCGCAAGCGCTTCCGCGGCAACATGCCCGTCAACTACAAGACCATGAACGACGCCGAGAGCGGCAAGGGCTACCAGCTCTACGCCGGACGACCCGCCTTTGCCGGCGGCAGGGGCGAGACCGACGGCAACGAGCCCGCGCCTAGGGACTGGCGCGAGGTCGAGAACGAGCAGTACCGCAAGGAGCAGGAGGCCGCGCAGAAGAAGTGATTGCACAAGGGCAAGAAAGACATAAAGAAAATCCACAAGAGGGGGAAAGGAGGATAGCCGCTGAAAGGCGCGATTGTGGGATACAATACTTGTACAAACTATGTGTATGATCTGAAGAGCGAGGCATAGGCAGGCGTCATGGCGTTCTCAAAACACACAAAAACGATGGCCCTGTTTAGGACAGGCCCGAGGCTGCATCTTGTTGGATCCTCACACGACAGACCACGAGGTAAGGCATGCTTATGTATTCAAAAGGAATTTTAAGATTCGCACGGCCTTAGAACTTCTCCACTAAGAGGGTTGGAAAATAGAGCGGCTGATTATGATGAAATATCAATGTGATACTACGGGATATAACCAGCAGTACAACGGTAAGGATTATGAGCAAACAATTCTCCTCTCATCGGGGCAAACTCATCTGGGATCGCAATGTCTTCTAAGCTTTCCCCCTCCAACCGATGAGAGTGTCAGCGTGACTCCATGCAAACCCCCGATGGGTGAATGCTGCGTCAAGTCTTACCTACAGCATAACCCAGATCTTAGTATCAGCCCCTCCTCACTCGGCATGAGAAATACATCGTCGGTATCACCACCGCTGATAGACTGGTCTCCCTTAGTACGTAGGTAAGGGCGCCGGGTCTCAGGGAAATCTCAGAAATAGAGAGAGGAGGAAAAAAAAGAGTTCACCCCCCCGGTGCTGAACTGGGGGCTACATCTCTTGGCGCTCATGCTGGGAAATTTATTGGTGCTCATTCCGGGATTCGAACTCGTGATACTCGTATGCGCTAAGCCTGTCGTCGAGTAGGCTGGTTGGCGATTTTAATTGTTGACCATGAACCACTCCACCACCCAGCCAGTTTGACCTGACCAACCGACCTAGGAAGGCGCCTGCTGTGCTGGTGACGGGAATGGACTTGAAGGGGTATATATGGGCTTCCCATGATTCCATCGTGTGTGTACTCGGAGCGGGCCATCCTACCACATTCTGGTCCATGAATCAGCGACTTGGAGACTTCTTAAATGCTACCTTATCTGACGATGAGTGCTTTGAGAGCCCTTCCCAGATACCTTTCACCCATGCTCCTATGTATACCAACCAGTATGACTACCTTACACGCCTATCACGAAATGTGTAGGCATGGGCTCTCCTTCCGATAACACAAAGATGCCATGACTACACGATGTCCATCTCTTAAAATCATCTCCGGTATTGCACTAGAAGATGGACAGCTTTCTCAGTCGAAGGTACCTAGCTGGATCTCCTTCCTCTTTCATGTGCATTGTAACCCCTTGGCGGCGGCTACGGAGGGATTTATCATTGGTAAAGTGGTTGGGCCTGGACAGTTCAACTGAACTCGCCTTCGACAGTCATCAAGACATCTTGTTACGTACGCAAGAATTGGAGGCACATCTACTTCAGCAAGGACAGTTGACTCTGTACAGTTGTCTTTGGTCAAATAGTCATAGTCATGAAACGGGGCCCTCGTTGAGAAGACATTAGATGCGATTAATACAATATTAGTCTGGTTCAGTTGTCCTTAGAAATTAATCCTTCCGTACCCCATCGGATCTCGCATCTGACCGTCGAGATCTTCCTCCATATATCCGTCATATTACGGCCCCATTAATCGTGTGAATTCATCTCCACAGCCCCAGGCCCCAGGTTCTTCCCTCTCCACAGATCATCTCCATTAAATCGTTCCAGTCTGGTTGGTCGGCACTCTCATAAGAGCACCATAATCCCTCGCACCAACGAAAAGGTCCAGACTTTGCAAGGGACCCTCCACGCAATTTCGGACCCGCGCCAAATCACTCCCGTGTAAAGACGGACCTGACGACGCGGGCCCATCCCGAGCGCTTCAGCGGGCTTGCCCAACTCTCGGCGTTATGATGGGCTGACATGAAAAAATAAAGAGAAAGAAAAGGTTGGCGCCCCCTTCCCGCTCTGTCACTCTCCTCCTTCTCTAACCCGTCCTTATCTCACGGAGAGACCAGGCCGGGCGAGTCAGGATGGAAGCCCCCCCAACCTTCTCAGCCCTGTTCTCTATCTCGACGAAGAGACCAAGCCCAGGTGAGGCAGGCGGGGAACATGTAGGATCGAGCGGGAAGGGAAGAAAATAAAGAAGAAGCGCCGTCGCTTCAGGCTCACGCGGCTCTCTCCAGTGGACTCTCGTCATCCGCGGCCAGCCGCGCCGGGGTGTTCATAGTTGTGCCGCACGTTTTCCCCGGCGCGTGGACTCTTTCGGACGGATTCATCGACGCTTCAGGCCCATGCGGATGCCTCCCAGCGGGTTGTTGTAAAAAGGTTGTTTTGAAGAATTCGGTTCTCGACTGGACTTCGGCTGGCGTCCCGTTGCCGCGTACACAGGAAAACCGAAAGATTAAAAAAAGAAGTTTTGCTCTACGCTTCCGAGATCAAGCCTCACCTAGAAGGGAGACGACCTGGCCAGCGGAACAAAGGAAGAAAGGTGCGCTCCTGGCCTGCTCGACGTCGCAACATGACTGTAGGCTTGTGATCGTGGCTTGGTTGGCGGTCATGGCGGCGGAACAAGGGAGGCGAGTTGAGACGATGTGGGAAGAAGAAACGCAGGAATCTTTGGGTGAGTTTGGCGGAAGAGACTCGGCTACGTGGCGAATTCTGTGAACGAGGGTAGAATTGCGCTGAAGAGAAAAGAAGAGGAAAAGACCGGTAGAGATGAAGGACGGACGAAGACTGCTTTATAGAGAGCCTGAGACAGTGTAAGTCATGTCAATTTGATATCCAATGTGATAAAAAGGTGGAGTTGAAGTTGAGAAAAGGTTTGGGGCGGTAAAGGTGGAGGGGTCAAGCCGCACATTCGGTGTGATCTGCAGCCGTGACACCCCTCCACCAGGGAAAAGGGCGCTAGCGAGCGTTGGTCCGCCTTGTTCCGGGGCTCGGAGGTACCTCACCTTGGGTGCTCACCTCCACTGGGCCATGTCCCTACGGATAGGTGGGCTGCGGGCACTTTGGCCCCTCCTTGCTGCCCCTCCAACCCCCCCGGGCAGTTTCCAGCTTGAAGGGGACGTGGAAACGTCTCAACCTGCCCACCCCTTCCCTTTCCCACTCCAAGGACTAAAACCCACGGAAACCTGTGACAATCTCACCCTCGTCCACCAACGGTCCAAACCCCTCGGTGAAACTACGAGCGACTCGCAAATCCTCCCAAGAACTCGATGGCCTGATGTCTGAAACTTGATTCTGCAAATCGTCGATCCGTCACCCTCATACGTCGCCGGGCTGCCCGTCTGCCAAGAGCACATTGCACAACACAGTCAAGCTTACCTCACTCTATCTACCAAAGTCTTACTCGCTTGCGGCTTTGCATCGTCACTCCGCTTACCTTACCTCACCGAACCCCTGTCGTCCAATTGCTGCTTACGGTCTTACCCACGACGCTCGTCTCGGCGTCCTTGTCGTCTCGTCAACTTCTCAACCGGCGACAGCGGGGCAGATAGCGTGTCAAAAGACGCAACTTCAGCTTGTTGCCAATCTTTAACCTTATTCAGGGTTTCTTGGCAGGCACATTTCATCCCTCCTTCCGACGACAAAGCCGGGTCTGGAATTTGGGCAGAACACCAACGCCAGAGACAGAGCAGGCTGAAGTATTGCTGCCGACTCTTCAAGGAAAACCTCCTGCCTCGGGTAAACCTCTGTCGAGGCTGCAGATTGCGTCAGCAGAGGAAGCAAACGGACGGGCATCAAGGCACTGCGAGAAACCAACCAGTGTTTCCAAGTCCGACAAGCATCCTCGAAACACCCAGAGACTGAGGGAAACCACCCATCAAGATGGCCCCGACTATCATACAGTGGATCCTGGATACACGGCATCTATGGCCGGAAGCCACTGAAACGAAGCAACTCGAACAAGCCGTACGTACTGCACCCCGTTCCTGATCGAATCTGCATTGCCGTTTGCCCGTTGCCCCATGCCCGTTTCGCGGCTCTGTATTATTCAAACATGTCCCGGCGAACCATTCCAAAACTGCTCGTCCCAAGTCATCGCCCCCCCCTCCCTTTTCTATGCAACAGCAACTTCGAAGTTCGAAGCTCCCCCGCCCCCTGCGTGTCATTTACCCCTGGAACAACGGGGACCTTCATAGTAGAAGGCAGAAGAAAAAGAAGAAACTGAGAAACAAACTGACACGAAATTGAACCCGCTGATTAGGCATCCCGAGCTTTCGCACTCCTCAGCGCCGATGAGCGTAAAGCCGTGCTAAAGTACTACCACGTTCGCGACGCGAAGCTGTCTCTGGGTTCGCACCTCCTGAAACGTTACGCCATCAGTCGCTTCTGCGGCGTCCCCTGGCACGATGCCACCGCCGTCCGCGACGAGCGCACCAAGCCCATCTTCCGCACCGCTGACGGCACCAGCCCGCTGAGCTTCAACGTGAGCCATCAGGCAGGGCTGGTCGCCATGTTCGCGGTTCACAGCTACGATGTCGCTGCGAGAGGCCCGGTCGACGTTGGTGTCGACATTGTCTGCACCTCAGAGCGCCGCACCAGGGACCATGGCATGCTGACCAAGGAGGGCTGGCCCAAGTTCGTCGACGTCCACGCCGACGTGCTCTCGCCCATTGAGGCCAACTTCCTTAAGTGGCAGGTCCTGGCGGCGATCCCGCCGGGGTTGAAACCGGGCGCCTCGCTCGAGGACGCGGCCGACTTTAAGCTGCGGTGCTTCTACGCGCTGTGGTGTCTGCGGGAGGCGTACGTCAAGATGACGGGCGAGGCGCTCCTCGCGCCCTGGCTGGGGGATCTGCAGTTCAAAAAGTTCCGGCCGCCGACGCCTGCGGAGAGTTTTAGTGCCGAAGGCGAGGCGGTCGCGGATCACGATATTGTGTTCAAGGGGGCCAAGGTGGAGGATGCGAATGTCTCCCTGAGGGCCCTGGGGCCGGATTACATGACTTGCTCTGCTGTCCGGACGCCGGAGCACAAGGAGGATGGATTGGCCTTCGAGCTGGGGCAGTACAAGATGCTGGATATAGACGAGGTGCTCGCTTTCGGAGAGGAGCACCAATAATTCATAGTTGCTTGTATATCTGGTCTTCTATAGATGTTTGTAGATCTGTCTCATGATTGAGGCTGATGACTTTTCATATAATAGCACTGGCTATAAGTGATCTCAAACTTGAATGATTCTTGGGAGACCTTTGATGCCTCGTATCTAGGCTATCTGTCTCTCTCCCCTTCTTTTGACGGAGCGAATTGGAGTCTGCCTGTTATCGGATAGGTTCAAGCTCTCTTGGAATTCTTTGAACCAGCTTCCAATTTCAATTCGTTGCGTCGTATTGAGCGACTGTTGCTTTTTCAAGACAGCCTTCTTCCCATCCGCTCACACCGTCGATCACAGAGTTGACTTCCCAAACAACGCTGACGTTTACTCTGCATAACAAGAAGCATAGGCACGCATATCGTTCAGCATTAGGATGTGAGGTTCAGGAAGCCTCTTAGGATCTTGGTTCACCAGAGACCGGATTCATACAACTCCTTTGATGTTCTGTAAGCATAAGTACTAATCTACCTGCATCCCACTATCACAGAACCAATGGTAAAAGCAGTGTTGAGACCATCGTGCATTCATAATCGTAGAAAAGTCTTGCATTCACTCCCCTCGGGACATGAGCTTCGTTCGGTCTCAAATATGTCTTAGAGTTGCAGGAACCTTAGTTCGCTCTCTCTCTCTCTCTCTCTCTCTCTCTCTCTCTCTCTCTCTCTCTGTAATTTTAGGCACATATAGCTAGTCTTCTAAAGGAGATATCCCTTCATCACTATCAACGTCGTCTTCTTTCACATCCTAGTACCCCGAACGTATTCGTTGTTGCTTTGAGACGAATACGTTGAACGAGAGGACGACAAGGTGACGGCAGAAAACATAAATTGGGCAGTTCTTGTTCACTCATCAGGTGTTGAGGAAGAGATCATGCTCATATCTGTATTGGGCAATTGCAACCAATTCCAAGAGCGGCTGTGAACTGGGTCCTGCATTGCGTGCTTCTTTTTCGAATGGCCGCGTTCATACTACACCTTTTTATTCATTCGCTGATCTATGTTGTTGGTGCTTGCTCGGGCGGAAGGCGGTACTCAGTGAGCACGATAGATACCCAGTAGGCGCAAACACTCACGTGAGCTCAATGAAACTAAGCTTCTTTTCTGATTTTCCCATACTTTTTAGATTTTCCCTTCTAGAAAGCTTATGAACTCGGATTTATCCTATCAACGGCGATACTGGGCGCGATGCTACCTTGTAAGGTTGGGTGTGTACCCAACCGACTTTACACTGTCCCTCAAGGTAATGATAGCTCGCCACCATGGTAACGGAGATACCCCGTTGCTGTCATAAAAGAACGATGCCGCCGCCTCGAGTCACTGATATATGCCACATTCCAACACCCGCTCATACACGCATCACATATTCGTTGCCTCGCTCATTTCGTCAAGGTCAAGAACTACTCCAGACTGCGGCTATACGTCTTTACACCATGTCTTACGTTGATCATCTCTTCCATGTCTTCATCGATACATTCGTTGATTCCGTTGTCAGCGACCTCGCCAATATCCTCGTCAACGCCTTGTTTCGCAAGGAAAGTATGGTTGAGTTGGAATCCACAAGCAATGAGCGACCGTATAGAGTCACTCACAACGGATGAGTGTCTCGACGCCTCTTCTCCTCAATGATCTTCAATACTCAATACACCAAGTCGACTCTCAAATCAGTCGCCAAGATCCAGCATCAACATACATCTACCAGCGCCAGTTCAGGCCTATACGAGCTCAGGTCCCATATCCACTTCACCTTCAACCAGCTGCTCGTCTCCTCCTCCACTCCTGGAATTTCCCCAAACGCCTCAACAGGAAACAACCAAAACCCGAGCGCCGGTCTCGGCGCCGCAGCCAACACCTCGGGCCCATCAAACTCAGGTCGCTTAGCCTGCAACCCCGACGCCGTCGAGAAACACCCCGCCGGTCTCTCGCCGCCGGCACGTCCTCCGGTTGCGGGCGTGTCCCATCCGTGAAACCACCACTGCAGCTCAAGCCACCGAAAGTCCTCTTCATGAAGGACCTTCACCGCATCCTCGCGAGTGAGGATGGAATCCTCCTCGCTCGAGGCGTACATGATACGGACGTCCAGATCTCGGTTCTGACCTCTGTTTGCCACGTCTTCAGGCCGTACGCCAGCATCACGAAGAAGCTTCCGCCAGCCGAGGGGTCCTTCCCTCGGGTCATACACACTCCCGCCAATCTTTTCCAAATCCCGCGCGATGCCGACCCTTGGATCCGGTAGTGGCGCATCGAAGAAGGTGAAGCTCGGAAACACGGGGACGCCGTAGTTGAAGACGTGGGCACGCCTCCAGTCCAGTACGTTGAGAGCGCGGGCGCCGCGCGGAGTGCACTTGAACCAGAGGCTTTTGAGATCTATTGCGGCGGTGGCTCTGAAGGCGTCTAGGGAGGGGCCTTCGGCGAAGGTGTGCATGGGTGGCGATGGGTTGTGGGTTGATGTCCGGTAGTCGGATCCTTCTACTACTAGGTGCTGGAGACCGCGACCTTTGGGGTCGGAGGCGCGGAGGTCGTGGATGAAGTCGAAGAAGATATTATGGGCTTTTCCGTAGGAGACATGGAGGTAGTCCCAATTCAGGTTGAGTCGGATGATGGATGCTCTTTCGCTATGTTTGTCTCGTCTAAAGCGGCATGGTAGTTGTGTTGAGTAGAACGACAGCACGGCGTCTCGTGCTTCCCTGTTCACTCTTATGAGGTCGGGTGACAGGGGCTGTTGGGTGTCGATGATGGCCTTATAGTGGTACCCAGAAATTTGACGACCAAGGCCGTTCATGAAAACTTTCCTTCCGTCGACATTGCGTCCATATTCTTCTTGTCTCTGCTCTTTTCCCTTCTCAAGAGTGATGTGTATCATCCGGTGACGCTGTAATGCATGCTTCCAGATTAGAAGACGAACTTCTACCGGAAACTGCTGGAATAATTCAAAGCTGGCCGCTTTGGTTTTTGCAGGGTCTGGATTGAATAGCTCAAGGTGCGGTCGCCTCGGCATCGTCGTCTCCATCTCAATGTCTTGACCGGACCATGGTCCTCATAGAGTCCCAAGTTCGAGACTCAGCAACTCTGACGATGGTTACACAACAGAAATGAACATGAGCCTTTAATTCCTGACGTAAGGTCGGGCAGGAATGCGGAGGCAGTGGATGTGGCGTTCAACGATGTCTCAAATCGTCGAGGCGCAGCTGTCGTTTTGGGGTATGGTCATCTACGTCTTTCCCGATTAGGAAATTCGATGAAGTGATGTAGTTGCGATATGTCACGGAATCCACTCCGGTCGCTGTCGCGGACTCACACTTTTGCCGCTGGCTGACCAGAATCGTTCCTAGGAAGATGTCATAGAGGACTTCGAAGTCGGCAGTAGGCTGTTACATCAAACAATCAAGGCAGACTTTGTCCCAGACAGAAATACCGTTTGCTGTTGCTCCCCAGGGTACCCAGAAGCGTAGCCGCGGTTTTGTCGTCACGACACTGAAATTCCTCTCGAACGTCGTCTCTGGCTACTTGGAGCTCTTTTCAGTTTAAAAAGAGGATTTTGGGCAGCAAAGCGCCTTTTACAGTCTCACGCCCGTACTCCGGAGCTTTCTAGACGGCAATGAACCGAGAAAACACGAGAACTTGGTAACTGACCCACGACGGGCAGCAGCTATAAGGCTCAACGGGATCTGATGTGCAGAACCGCCATTCAGATATGGACCCCCTGAGCCTGAACGAGACTATAAGTGCCGCAGTGAGTTTCCGGTTGTCATGTGCATACTCAACGAAGAATAGGCCATGACCGGGGAAGGACGCCTTCGTACTTTTCATATCAGTAGTCGGTCACCCGCTACCCTCCTCTCGTCATGCTGCCAAAGGCATTTCCGCCGTCAGGCGTCAGTACGGGGATCCTCGATTTCGATGAGGTTGTTCCAGACGTGAAGTCACCGAACACCCGCATGGTGAAGCCGCCTTGGAGTGGCGAGGCGAAGTGCTGCGGGTTCCCCCAGTCGAATTTTGTCCATCACTCTTGATACTCGAGATATAGAAAGATCTTGAAGAGAGAAATTGGTTGAATGACATCGAATGAATCCTCCCCAGAGACACAGCGAACTTTCTAAGACCAAAGCCAAATAAATACTGACTTTTTATTGAGACTCACAGCCCCCCAGGCAGACTAAATCTTCAACCCAGGACTCTCAAGCTTCTTCCAGACCTTTTCCGCATTCTCAGCCAGCCTAGGCAAAACAACACCAACACCACTAGGCGGCTCAGCCCGATATAGAGGAACAACACGCGTAGCCCCCTTGGATACCTCCAGAATCGTCCCGTTGCCGTACTCTGGATTCTCGCACAACTCAAGCATGCCCCTTGCAACCTCCTCCGGCTCGAGGAACAGCTCGACGCCCTCGCCCTGCGTCATGTGCTTCTTCCCCGGGTCCTCCGACCACATTGGAGTCTGTAGCCTCGCGTCAGCCACAGTATCTTCCTAGAACCTGAACCTAAGGGTGTAAAAGTTGATACGGTATACTTACCATCACGGCCCCCGGCGCAACAGCACTACACCGAATCCCCAACCGATCCCTCATCCCCGCCATACACCTCACAAAACCGTGCAGCCCATGCTTACTCGCAATATACAACGGCGATCCGATACCTGCCGCGTGCCCCGCGATACTACTTACGTGCACCAAACACCCCCCTTTCCCCTCCTGCGTCCAGTACCCGATTGCAAGCTGGCTCAGCCGGATCGGGTGCGTCAAGTTAACGTCTAGAACGGCGTAGGTCCCCGGCTCGGCGTCCGCCGTGTCTCTCGATTCGCTATCCGGGTTCGACTCCGTCTTGGGAGGATGCCAGAAGGAGCTCCAGGCTGGTTCGAAGAGGCCTGCACCGGGGACGACGATGTCGATTTGGGGGAAGGAGGAGAGAGCGCTGGACCAGAGACGTGACAGGGAGGGCCAAGATGCGACGTTTGTTTCTTGGAAGAGGGCTGAGGGGCGATAGCTGTTATTTTTGTTGTTGGAAGTGTTACTGCCGGTTTGGGGATGAGGGTATTGCTCTATGAGCTTCCGTGCTTCGGGACGGAGGGCGAGGTCGCCTATCATGACGGAGCAGCCCTTTTCCAGAAGTAATCTTGCAAAGGCGAGGTTTATGCCTGTGAGGTGTTAGTATACCGGTGGTCCCGAGAGGAGCGTTGACGTCGGAGGAGTGGGTTAGGGGAGAGATGACCTGATCCTGCGCCGGTGATTACCGCGTATTTTCCTGCCACGGACAGAGACATGGTGCCGACAGCCTTTAGAGTTGATGAAGCTGAGGTATCGCGTGAAAGTCTGAATGAAGATGAAGTTGTCACGCAAAGGAACTCCGGGCACCTGTCATATTGAGTAACCGAAAAGCCGTGCCGAGGTGTCTCATGGGGTCACACATTGCCCGCTCGACTTCGCAGCCTCTGGGGATGCCGCCACTGACGGGTACCATCACCCGGCGCGACCATTCAGCATGTATCTTGAGAGGACTGGAAGTTGTCGGATTGGTACGTGGCTTGAGGGGTCACTGGATGTTGGCGTGGGGGGTAGCTGTCCATTAGAAGAAACCCCACCTGTTCATACAGATTTGGCTTGTATACAAAGTTTTGGGGTTTCGTTCATGTCACAATACGACACAAGAACAAGACAACGGTACCAAAATGAACGGAGAGCGGGACAGTTGTAAAGTACACCATTGGCGCTAACCTACCACCAGGAACTAAATCCAACCCTCACCCCGTCTTGGGCCCCCTTTCTTCATCAGGAACCCGTCTAGATGTCTCACTCGACGCAACCAAACCCTCCCGGCGTCGATCACTCTCATCATCCTCCGGCTTGCCCTCCCGGGTCGCCCATCCATCAACGTACCGTAACGTCTGCCGGCTCCAAATCTTATTCATAAAGAACAACCGCACAGGCACCAGAATGATAATAATGATGGGAAATCCGGGCGCGGCAACAGTCAACGTGACGCCAAAGACAATACCCGTGAGCACGATCTGCGCGATCGTGTAGCAATGAATCCCCATCCAACTAGCGCCGTGAGGTAAGGCAGGCAGCTCCGAAATGGGCGTCAGAAGGTGCCAGATCCTCGTCAGGATCGGGTTCACAGACAGTGACTGGAAGCCCATGAACATGAAGAGCCCCGCAAGGACCGAGGTCGGCGTGAAACCCAGCACGTGCTGGAACGGCGGCGAGACGAAGAGCAGGATACCCGCCGCCTGAAGGAAGGCCGAGTACCGCTGCTCGTGGACGCGCTGGACGGGTTTCGCGGGGGGTCCCTCGCCGGGCCCTTCCTCCTCGGCTTCTTCGTCGACGGGCGGCGGGTCCTCGTAGACGGTGTACATGAGCGACTCAGAGTGGAGCGGCGCCTGCGGGAGGAGGCCGTTGGCGGGCGGGATGCCGAGGATACCGCACATGATTGTCGTGATGCCCAGGAGCATGACGTCCCACGCGTACCCGCCGGGCTTCTGTGTGCCGTACCTCTTGGCCGTGCAGATGATGCTGCTAATCTCGTGGTCAAAGTAGAAGAGGACGGTGATGATGATGCCGGGAATGATGGCGATGAAGATCCAGCCGATGGGTAATTTCCAGAACTCGACGAAAAAGTACTCGCGGCTCGGGGACGACGGCCGGAACGACTTTGAGACCTCGAGCCTGTTGTGGTCAAGCGTCGCCAGGTCGCCGACGTACGGCATGCCGATGAAGAAGACGATGGAGATGGCGGCGGCATACTCGGTCAGGCCCATGCGGATGTACCGGTGGAATAGCGGCTTCCACGACACGGCCGTTGACAGGGCGATGGCGAGTAGGCAGGTGCCCGCGGCGCCGATGATGGAGTAGAGGAAGGCGGCGAGCGAGACGGCTGCTTTGGTTCGCTGGAGCTCCCTGATGGCCTTGTGGAAGTAGATCACGCTGTTGAGGAGGGAGAAGATGTCGGCGCTGAAGTCGGTGACGTATTGCATGGTGTAATCGTGGGCGTTGAAGATGGCCAAGAGGAAGTGCATCCAGCCCGAATGGATCAGGGACCAGGCCATGAAAGGTAGGAAGGGGATCTGTCCGTAATTAGTTTACTGGTGATGTTCAATTCTTCTGAAAGATGATTTACCTTGAATGAATTCTCGCACAGTGTGTAAATGTTCTCTGCCAACACTGAGAACGGCCCCGTAACACCAAGAATCGTCAGTGGTTGAGCCGAGAACCTGTGGGAAAATGTGTTAGATGATGATGTCTCGGGGTAATGAATCTCTCAGGCGAGCAAGACAACTCACAAGGCAAAGATGATGCCGCAAAGCCCAGTACTAAACACCACCTCGATCGTGCCCCACGACTCCCCGGTCAAAACATACAAGTCGCTCGCAAAGGTGATGCCAGGCAAGATATTGGTGAAGAAGACGTATACCGCGCTCGCCAGGACAAGCTGATTGAACACGGTCCAGTCAGAGAGGTACCTCAATCTGAAGTTGCCAAAGTCCTCCTTCAGCAGCCTGAATGGCCTCAACTTGCCATCTCTCTTGACGTAGCCACGCCATCTGTGGTTGTTCCTATTGCTGGTGTCATTGTCGCTGCTGCGTCTTCCACTTCGGCGCCCATCCGAGCCCGTATCGTGGCCCGAAACTTCCTCCCGATCTTCTGCCTTCTCAGTAGACCTCCTTTCCACCTTCTCGCTCATGAGGCCGTGCGATTCGCGGACCGGTGTTATGACATCGTCCTGGTGTCTAGGTGATGTGGCAGAAGGTGGTCCGCGGTCATTGTCTGGCCCCGCGGGCGTGAGATTTGGAGGCATGTGGGAGGAGGCTTTCACGACTATCAACACAGAACGAGCCTGTGCGAAGTCCTTGGATACACAAGAGATGAATGCCCAGTGTGATGACAGTAAGAACAGGTCTCTTAGACGGTTCTTCACAATACAGAAGTAGTCATATACATGATCTTGCAAGCCCAGAAATAGATGAGAACCCAAGATTCGTACTGAAAATAGACAAGAAACACTCGACAAAAGCCAGAACGGTTAAACGGCAGAGGCGTAAAGAACTCAAAACGCTACAAAATACCGCTAATGCAAACCTTTGCTCATCCCAACGAACTCCATCTTGCAGCCCAAGGTCCATGGATTCCCTTGACTCGAACAAGTTTTCCCAAGCACCGTTACCAGGGCTTCTTAGAAAAGAGAAGGTTCGGGCCCCGTTTCGACAAATCGACATCCCACCGTTCCCCACGTGCTCATTGGCCAGTCTTGGCAGACCATAACCCCACTGACAGCCAAGGGTACGTAGTGCGCACGGTCCAAGCTGGGATACCTAGCTCTCGAGGCTGACGTCATGGCTCGTCGGCGTCGGGGCCAGTAGGTTGCCCCTCCTCCCTTTCCAGGGGTCATCAGCAGCCATAGCCAATCAGAAGATGCGACAGCTGCGAGGCTATCGGACAATCGGCGCCAGGCTGAAGAAATTTCGACACGAACCAACCTTCATTGCTCCGAAGTTATCAGCTTCAACCACCTGCAAGCGTCAGCCCCCCATTCCCATCACCGAGCGCTTCTTCCAAGGAATTCAATTGCTCTCCCCCAACGATGAAAAGGTGATCGCAAGGAACGGATCCTTAGCGCAAGGGTGCCCAAATCCCCCCCCAAAAACCCCCGTCCCCATCCCAACCCCCCACAACCCCGGCGATGCTGCTCCCGACCGCCGCGCGCCGGAGCGCAACCACGGCCACCACCGCCGCCTTCGCGCCCCGCCTCCGCTTCGACGTCTCCGAATCCATCCCCCGCTCCTACTACCTAGGCCACCACCACGCCGCCCTCCGCGAAATCTCCTCCCGCCTCTCCGACGTCGGCCTCGTCCTCGAGTGCCGCGACTACCGCGTGCCCCTGACCAGCTGGAACCCCGTCCTCGACCGCGCCATCGCCGGCCGCGAGCGCATCGTCGTCTACACCCACCGCGACCTCGGCGCTGACAGTCCCGCCTCGGTAGAACAAGCCCTCCGCCGCTTCCACAACGGCACCGGTCGCTCCGTCACCGGCGGCGGCGGCGGCACCTCCACGACCCGGCAGCGCGTCGTCTTCTGGCGCAAAGACGACCCCGCCACGACTAAACAACTCCTCTCCGAGATCCGCAGTGTCGCCCGCTCAGTCGACAGCCTAACCGGCATGCGCGCCCTCGTCGTCGGCATGCCCAACGTAGGCAAAAGCACCCTCCTCAACAAGCTCCGCGTCCACGGCATGCACAAGAAACAATCCGTCGCAAAAGTTGGCGCACAACCAGGCGTGACGCGCAAGCTCTCCTCCCCCGTGCGCATCCTCGACTCCGAGACCAGCAGCGCCGGCGACAGCAACGACACCATGGGCCTAGGCGAAGGCGTCTTCGTCCTCGACACGCCCGGCGTCTTCATGCCCTTCGTCTCCGAGGCCGAGAGCATGGTCAAGCTCGCGCTCGCCGGCTCCGTGAAAGACGACCGCATCCCCATGGAGATCCTCGCCGACTACCTCCTCTACCGCCTCAACCTCGTCGACCCGGGCGCCTACGCCAGGTACTCGGAGCCCACGAACGAGGTCAACGAGTTCCTTACGGGCGTCGCTCGTAGGACGGGCAAGCTCAAGAGCGGAGGGGAGGCCAACGCCGACAGCGCGGCCGACTGGATCGTCAAGCAGTGGAGGGTCGGGAACCTGGGCAAGTTTGTGCTTGACGACATCACCGACGAGGCCTTCAAAGACAAGGAGCTGGCGAGAGAAGGGCAGGGCCCGCTCAGCATGAATCAGGCGCGGAGAAAGGAAAAGGAGGCGAGGAAAGAGCGGGCAATGAACAAGAGCAAAGCGGTTTGAGGGGCACAAAAAGGAGTAGTAGAATTGTCCCGTGTGAGAATTATAGAAAGATACCCCAACACTCTGTATCAAAATACATGTAAAGTAAAGACGTTGCCTCGTATGAGAGCAAATTTTGTACACCTTATCCTTCAAGACAATAAAAACCGAGTAGATCGGATTGGAAAATACTCGAGATGAAAAAGCAAACTCAACCGAACTTGAGTGCATCACTAACAACGTCGACCGCAATCTTGGAGACTCGCAAGTGTCCGGGTATCCGACAACTCTCCTCGAACCTGACAGTATCAACTGACAGTAGAACCACACAGCCAGTGCGTACATGAGCAATGACTTGTGATTGAACTGCCTTCCAGTCTTTTGTTCGAATATCATTTTCAACACCCCAAAACAGACCAAACGCCACGAAACATCAAACCGTACAGAGCCGCCAAATGCCGTCGAGGGCAGACTCTTAGTATCGTACTCCGAAACGAAAGCAACCATTCGGCTTCAAGTGAGCGACTCTTCGCTTATATAGAGGGCAGCTACGGCCAATCTAGGCCAGCTCATGACGCATATTGATTCTGCCATCGCAGCAGGTCTCGCGTGAGGGCATCCATCATTTCCACGCAATTCAATGCTTTAAAATCTTTCGACTCCGGCCCATTCCCGTCTGTTGCCGCAGTGCCGATTGGTGAATTCTTTGCTACTGCGGAGTCGCCGTTGACGCTAATCTTGGGCGCATCTGGCGCAGCCGTTGCGCGAGGACTTTGTTGTTGAGAGCTATTCTGGCTACTCCTTGATCCCGGTAGTGCTTCGCCAGCCAATTCCACTTGTGTTTTGGAAATGAAGTCGAGGAACGCCGAAACTCTGCGCTTCATGTCGTTCATCGATACTTTGCTGTGCGCACTATTTGCTTTTGTCCGGGTGTGCTTAGGGTGGTCGGAATGGGACTGTTTGCTGGTACCAGCGCCAGTATGGTCGTCATGATTCCGGCCGATGTCTCTAGACATTGACCTTGCTGGTGTGTCTTCGTTATCGTCGCGGTCTTTTGTGTATTGATTTCGACCCTTGCCCCTCTTCTGGTTGTTACGACTGGTCTTCTTGTGTGAGCTCCCGACCGGTGCCTGATTCGCAGGCGGAGTATCCGGGGTCGGGGCAGAGGACGGGGGCGCCTCGACAGGCACCACAGGCTCGGTGGTTGGTTTGACAGCAGGCCGAGCTGTCGCGAGGGGGACCTCTTCTGACGGATCCGATTCTGCGCCCACGTGAGCTTCAGATTCCTTACCCGGATTTACAGGAGTCGTACCCTCAGCTCTCCTACGATCTGCACGACCCTTCCGTCGATTGGCTGCTTCCGCTCGCTGGCGATCGCGCTCTTCTCGATCCGACTTTTCACGTTGCGTCCGTGTGCCGCGAGGCTTCTTCGATTGGCCATTTCTACCAGTATTTTCTTCGTCTGTTTCATCCTCGATGGCTTCGGTCTTCTCTGGGGGCGGCGACATTGATGGCGAACTGGTTCGCTGTCTCTTCAAGCTTGCCGAGTTCCTGGGACTGTTAGCGGGAGTCAGCGTAGTGAAAGATTAAAGACTCACTCAAGACTGTCACTGCGACCTCGCTTCGTTCGTCTCGACGTAGTCTCCGTGGGCTCCGAAATGGTTTCTTCTTTGCTGGCCTCGATGGCCCGCCGCAATTGTTCATCCTCATCGTATGCGGCATCCCGGCTGTTCATTGTTGACCTCCGCTTCGAGGCCTGGGTAGCAGAAGAAGCGCGGCCCCCGTTCCTGCCTGATTCTTTCGGCGATCTGGTGCCATCCTTGACTAAGGATGCGGCTCGGGATGTTGCGCGCGACGGACGATTGAGAGGCAAGTAGTTCGAGTACCGTTGTCTGAGAGAAGAAAAGTCAGCATTATTAAGGTAATAAGAGGTGTTGTTGATTGAGCCTCGCCGCATCCGAGTACAAGTCTTCCAGTGACCTCGCCGCCGACCGACGCTTTCCAGCCAATGGCGGATTTGTGGGCGAACAAGTCACCGAGAGCTTCTGGATGGAAGGTGGATTGCTTACCCGTTGGCTGCTGCGTGGATCTTGTGCAAATCCCTGCGACACTTTTCGCAAAAGTACTCATCGGGAGAGCTCTCCTCGGTAAAAATGCCGACACAAGCACCATGCTGCCAGACTTTGCAGACGTCGCACTGGACGAAGAGACCAGAGACCTCATCTGACAACTCGATGCTAGCGAAGAAGTCGGCCTCTGGGTTGTGTTTCCCGTGCTTGGAGTCCTCTTCAAAGGGCGGAGGTCCCGGGTATTCGTCGAAACCACATACGCAGCGTACGGACTCGTCGTCCTCTTGGACGTCGTCGCTGCCGGTGGCCATATCGTAGGGGTCGACACGAGGCTTGTCGCGAGCGTCTTCTTGCGCGCGGGTTCGGCGCCGTGAGGGGAGGGCGTCCTCCAGGTCTTCGGGTGGCTCCGAAGAGAGCGAGGCGCTCGGGGTGGACTTGGCGGAAGAGGTCTTGTTGAGGGATCTGGTGGTTCGTTCGCCGCGACTCGAAAGACTTGAAGTTGTCGAGGATTGCTGTGATTGAGAGACTGTGTTGCCTCGGGCTCGTGAAGAACGTCGAGGGGAGGGTGGTGCCATTGAGGCAGCGTAAGGAGACGGCGGAGAGAGAGGAGGAGGGTGGAGGAAGAGTTCGGAAGAGCGAGGAGGAGGGGAGGAAGAGTCGGCGGCGGCGGCGTGTGAGTGACGCAGTACAGAATGTCGCAGTCGCAAGAGTTGAAGCCAGAAGGCAGAGAGTAGAATTGGAATGTCGGGGCGAGGGGGAAGATTGGTAAGGTAAGGTAACGAGAGTGGGCAGAGAGCAGGTCGGGTGGGTTGTTGTGGTTGTAGTGGGAGGGCAATCGTGCGAGCGAGAGAGAGAGAGAGAGTAGGTAGCAAGAAATGGATGGGCGCGACTCGCAGTTCGGGCTAGTGAGAAGGGAGGATTCGGGTACTCGAGCAATGCTTTTGAGGGGATCGAACAGTTCGCATATCTGACAATCGAGGACAAGGTAGATTCATGTCGTGACGGGTCGGTAGAGTGAAGAAGAGGAGAGAGAGGAGCCGACGTGGGGAGGTGGAAAAGGTCAGAGAAAGAGTGCGCCCTGGGAGAATGGTTCTCTGGGTGAAGGAAACCGACAGGCGACAGAGCAGCAGCACCACACTTCTTTCGGGCTTGTAAAGTGTGGTGCGGCAGCCTCTTTGGCTCTGGCGTGCAGGAGCTGCCACTGCCACTGAGGTGCCCTCCGAGTAACGCACCCAGGGAAAAGAGCAGCTTTGCGGGGCTGGGGCCAGGTGCTGCCAATGGGCTGCCGTCTACCAATGGCTACACAAGTGATTGTGCTGCATAAGTCCCTGCACAAAACAGAAGAGAGAGGAAGGGACCTCGGGCAGCGGAGGTGGGATGGATGGGAATTATGTTGTGCGTCTTCAGGTTGTGCTGTGCTGCCGTCGGAAAAACCATGGCGATGACAGCCTGTGTACTAGCGACTTTGGGCGGCACTGTGCTTCTCCCACAAATTGCCCTCCAAAAAGGCAGAAAATCGGAGTACCTGAGACCAGCCAACTGAGCAGCATCAGGGATTTTCTTCCGAACCCACCTACCTAAGGTACCTTACAGAGTACACCCGACAGCAATTCCCCAAGCACAGTCCCCCGCCCAAAGCTACAGTCCATGATTTTCCCCTGCCAACGGTGCTCGTCTAATCTAGAAGCCCAATTTACCACCCGCTCTCCCGCTGTCTCTCCATTCTGCATTCTGCGGCGAGTCACTTTTATGCACAGCACACAGTGTGTGTGCATCCCTTCTCTTTCCACTTCAACCTCAATCACTTTAAACCCTTCCGTGCTCACTCGTCACTTTCTCTCGCCTGTCCGCCTCGAGCTTTGGGTTCTGGATCCGTCAGGTAAACCCCCCCCCCCCCCCCAAAAAGGCCCGCCCCAACCTCCCACCCCGGCCAGTCCATCCGCAGCGGAGCCCTGGCTTGCTTATCTAATGCGTTTCGACCGGCCCTCGTTGACCTACGTCTCCTAATCACACACCAGACATTATCAAATGCTGTCATTAGCAATCAAAGCTGGGGAATTCGGTACCAACGCTGACTTTCCCACACTTCATTCAGAGCTCGAGCAACCTAGCAGTCGCCTTTGCATTTTATCTGAACAGCGTCTTGCGCCTGACTGCACACTCTGCTTATTCTAGCTATTGGGTGCCCAAAGTCGAACACGGAGCAAACCCGGCCGAATTCTGGTGGACCGAGTTGGTATGCCCGCTCCCCTCTTCTGGCGAACAAGTAAAGGTCCGCTCGTACCTTACCTGAGCCTCTTTGCGCAGCGCTCCCTTGATTCCTTCAAGGGTAGGAGGGAACTATCGATCGGACCTGGTTGAACGTGTAGCATATGTTTGTCTGGCTTGTCGTTGGGCCAGCTCTCTATTGCCGACATACGCTGATGGTTGGGCAAACTCAGGATTCAAGGGTTACGAGCTCCTCCCGCATTTAATACGGATCCATACCCCCTCCTCTCGAACCTCCCAACCCACCACCGAACGAGAGCCTTTTTTTTGCTTCAAGCAACACCAATACGAGCCCCCCCGTCGCACTGCTAGCAGCCTCAAGCTTCGTAACGTGAATCGCCCTGTCCGCGTTGGCCTGCCTTGCATGGCTTGTAGCATGAGGTGTTATGGGTATGCGTCGCTCTTCTCCAAGTTCAACTCCCGCCACCACCTTGCCATACCCACCTTCTCGACCACTGCTTTCGAAGGATGCTGCCACTATAGCCCTCCGGCGAATGTCAGGCGCTGCCTCGCCGGCGCTCGAGACTCTGGAGCTGGCTGTGGCGGCCGACTGCACAGGTCATGCGCCTTTAAAACTCACCGGCCTAAGGCTTTACCATTCGACCGAGAAGCTTGCTAACCTCGATGGTTCTTATGCGGAAGCAGGTCATAATCGAACAATGTCTCCCGAAAGCGTCTCCTCTCTATTCCCCCAGAGGCCGATTCGTCCCTTGCCGAAGCGTCGCTTGAGGGAACGCCTCTCTCCCGAGGTGGCAGACTCCATCGAGTACCCCCCTGCGAACCACAACAGTAGTCCTCTGTTCTACTACCCAAATATCGTGCGAGATGAGATGCCCTTCAAGGCAGGAGGCTTGAACGGTGCGAGTCGAGGTAATGGAGGGTATGGAGGAGCACCCCGAGGAACCCCAGCGATTGGAGAGAGTGACGAGGAGGAATTGGCGCTGAGCAGCAGCAAAGTGGTTCGGCGTTCACATCCAGAGATACTCAACCGCGTCTCAACGAAGCCTCCGAAACCGGAGCACTCTAAGCACCCCAGTCCTCAACCGCCTCCTTCGACGACATCCTCAGCAGATGGGTACGAATCGTTCGAGAACACCAACAACAAGAAGAAGAGGAAGATTCCGACTGCTGGAGACTCGACACTATCTGGTGTACACTCCATGGGTGATATCAACTCTATAGGTGTATCAACAGTCATGTCTCCGTCAAACGACCACGGTGACCTTGCTGGATCGATACCACCGTCATACTACGGGGCTGGAAGTTTCGTTGGAAACAATCAAGGCATCTCAGGACCAGGACGAGGCAGATTCGGAAGATCAAGGAATGGCAGAAGTCCGCTTAGGGCTCTATCCGACGCAACAATCAACTGGGTGGGCAGGGGAGCCAAGATCCGGCCGCCTCAATGGGCAACGTCAAGTAAGTATGAAGATCTGATCCCCTGTGTGTTCAAGACAGAAATGAGATGGGAAAGGCGGGAGAAGCCTGATGGGATGCTGCAGTGCTTGATGGATGGGGCGGTTGCTGTTGAATGAAAGGGAAAGCGGCCGCTGCACCTCACAGCAGGTTGCTCCTGCACCCTTTGATTTCAAACGCAGGCATCCACGCCCTTGAGTACAAACACCGGCTCCTCAGCTTCTTCACCTCGACCTTTCCCACAGCGATCACAGCATCCGCATTATTTTGCGCATTTGTCGCAACGCTGCGTTTCTGGGATGCGCCGCTAATTCTTACATCTACAGACGAAAATCCCGGCATCATTTCAAGTGCCATTGCGAATGCAGAAAAGGTCCACTCAGCTCCGGGTCAGGAAAACGTGAGCCTCCTCCATCAGCAATCCTCCAGCGTCAAATCTAGCCCTACTGCCACTCAGTTCACCTTCACTTGCGACTCCCCAGTTCCAAAGCCTCACTGGCCCGGAACTGATCCTGCGATCTCCCACCCCGGATACCCCAGACAACCCAGACACGCCTCGATGGCGACACAGACTACGCCAGATGCCGCCGGCACGGAAACTGGCTCAGGCGATCCTGCGCCTGCTGGCAAGAAGGCTCCCCGGCCCATGTCAAAGAAGAAGCGCCGTCAGCTTGCTGAGAAGGAACTGCGTAACGCAGCCAAGTCACGTCGTCAGGAAGCCGAGGAGAAATACTACAAAAATCCACCCAAGCTCGAGGATATGTGGATTTGCGAATTTTGCGAGTACGAGAGAATATTTGGCTCGCCTCCTTATGCCTTGATCCGGCAATACGAGATCAAGGACAAGAAAGCCCGCGAGAAGGAGTCAGAGCGGAAGCGACTCTTGGAGAAGGCCAAAACCAAGGGCAGGAAGGCCAGGAAGCAAGCCAAGTCCCCCGCCAAGACGACTTCATCTCACAACCACACCGAGGACCAAGGCGCTCGTGCTCCTGTGGACCCTGATGAGAGCAACTCCAGTCCTGGCGATGACTATCTTGACGATTATCCGAATGGCAACTATCACAACGACGAAGACTTTGAAGATACATACTCTCAGGACGACCCGCCGATGCTGCTCAGCGACGACCCAGACCAAGAGTGTACTTGCCCACATACAACCTGCAGCGATTGCGGCGGAGACCAGAATGAGGTGGATGACCCCGGCGAGGCAGTTGACTGAAGAGGTCCACTCGCGGGCTTCCTGGGGTGCACAGCACTGTGATTTTGGTGACCGCGCGTGGTCTCTTTCACTTACCCATACTTCATTATACCCGTTATCGCATCAATACAACAGCACAGCATTGGCCTCACAGGTCTCAGCATCGGAGGCTGATCATTGGTCGGTTGGCTGGCAAGTGAAGGGAACGCCAACCTACTTGGACATTGCTTGATGATATTGGAAGCATCATGACCCATCAACTTGGGTTTGGACAAAGGCGCCTTTCAGCCACCCTTTGGAATACGCCCTCATCATCAACATGTTTTTATTACTAGCGACCACCATTTTCAGCAATGGAAGTTAACAACCGAAAATACCAGAAAAAAACAAGGCAATACTCGTCTCAGAGAGTTCGAGTTCTATGCCACGATGATGGAACGCACCAAGCATTGCCCATGCCTTCTAAGAGACCGTCGAGCTAAGAATCAAGCTCGTGGTGTTGTCTGTTTGGAAAGCTGTCGAGGGAGGCTTGGAACTTTAATCAGCGGGTCAGGATGGATATTGGTCCAGCCAGGTCTAGACTTTTGAGGCTCAGGAAAGGGAGACGGGAGGTTGTCAAACGCCTCGTGAAGGTTACTTGTCAAAGATACACACACATACCCCTTACCCTTAGACTACATCAAGTCGTCCCCAGCAGAATTGACCACTCTTACCTGAATCTCCTCTTATTGTTTGTGACTTTCCCTACCGAACGATGTTTAAGGGTATCTTTGATAGACCTTCACTGCCCCGGGCACAAGGTTCATTGGAAAGACCCGTAGCTCGATGCACCCACCAGGTATGACGTCACGGATCTCTGCACTGACTAAGGTTGTATTAGCGGTAGGTCTAGCCTCCTCCATCGCGACCCTAAAGCTAACGACTCATTAATTGCAGAATATTGCCTTATTAAGCGGCTCCTTCATACTATGTCCCCGTCATTATTCGGAGTTTCCCAGCTGCTCCTAGTCCGCCTCACTCATGTTGCTTGGGTCGCAGCTCGGCGTTTGCTTCTCACGAGCCAAGGAGAGGTGAGTTGGTAAGTGAGTAAATGGAAAACTCGAAGCATGGGGAACTATCTGTACGATGAATTCAATATATCGGCTCTTTCATATTTAGAACTGTTTGACGTGAGGTAGGAATTAGAACAGAAATAGCTTGGCCTGCCGGCGGAGGTCGCAGCGCAAAAGACCGGATTCCAACGCTACCGTAGAGTCTCTGACCGCGCTATCCGCCTGGGGAATGTTTGGCTCTTCTGGGAGCCAGGACTGCGTCGACGGTTGAGGATATCTGTTTTCCCTTTTTTCGTTTCTTGCCGTTTCCCCTGCGTGGCAGATCATTGCGGCTTGAGGGAGCATGCATAGACCTTGGAGGCTGATGATGTGTCTTTTTTTTTTTTCTCTGGGGGGTGATGGAGCTGTCGGTAGTGGGTGTTATTGGGGTCGTTGGAGGGGCGCCCATCTTCGGAGAGTCACTCCGGATCACATTGGTGTCATCAAAGTATCTTCTCTTTCGACATTTGACAACATGTTTAACGATCGCAAAGCCTCAATCAGGGCGGCTCGTCCGAGGTAAAACAGGGAGAATGAGAATAGACAAGATCTGAGATCAAGCTTCTCACCATCCGCTAGAGCCGTTTCCGCGCAAGCCGTCGGCGGGAGTGCGCCGGAGAGTTCCAAATCATAAAATGGGCCAGGGGTGGTGGATCACGGAGACTCGGGAGGGACAGAACAGATCAGAGTACCTACGCAGGAGAGCAGACTGGAAAAGCTTTGCTGTCAGTCGGGCCAGGCCTGAAACAACCCTGTCCCCTCCACCCACCGCACCGCAACGCAAGCCCCCCCCAGGCTCAAGGTTCTGCGAGGACGTCGATCAACTGCTCCACATGAGGTTCGGCACTCTGGAACTTTGACGTATCCGTCGGTGGGTGTGCTCGTGTAGTTTGGTATGTACATTCACAGGCGGCAGTGGTGCTGGTGGTATTCTACTGCTGTTGGCTGAGCCGCCTCTATGAGGACCATACCTCATGGGATCCACGGAACACTGGGAAAGGGCTTTTGGATCGCAAAGAAGACCGGCTCCTCGGTAGGCTGCTGTGGCTGCCTCACCAAAACAGCCGAGACTCGATTAGTTCGTTTGGTAGGACCTGTACCTTCAGAGACGTGAGACTTCTGGGTAGACTTCTCAGATACGACGGATGGATCGTCGGGGGTTGGACAGGGGGACAATGGAAACAGATAGGCGTCCCAGATTAATGCGTGTTCCTTGAGCCCATTGCGACACTGGGTAAGTAATTGTGGTATCTGGCGCGATATCTCTGTACTTGGGTATGATAGGTATACAGGTGACGAGACACTTTTTGGCTGTGTGAGCTGTGTTTTGATGACGACGGCATTGTTGGGATTTCCGAGCATCCAACCCCCGAGCAGCATCATCTTGGGCCGAAGTTTTGCTTCAGCCTTGTCTTTTCTTGGATGGAAGTGGACCAATGCCTGTGAGACACAGGGTCGCCAGGTCATCGAAGCTGTCACAAAACGTCGCAGTAGATCGCCCTCGGTAAATACTAGGTACGTAGGTAGGTGCTCCGTACAGTAAGATAGCAAGCACCGCGAGCGAAGGAATTGCCAGCAAAGTTGGTAGCAACAGCTCCCAACCCCGCTGCATTGCTGCTGCCCAGCGCCAGGCCAGCTCGACATGGGCATTTGGATTGTTAGCAGCAGGGCCCGTCGGATTGGCACCCTCTTGCTTTGAGACACTTGGGCCAGACCCGGCATGGCGTCGTCCCAAAGCAGAAAGGCGGCAGCGCCGAAACAAGGGTGATTCCAGCAGAAAGAAGAAGCCTCCAGCCAGCAGCGGAAAGGTGCAGGTCGCTCGCTGCCTCTGCGTCGCATTTTGCTGTCATTCTGTATCCGTAGGTACCTCACCTTACTCTCTGTACCTCTGTACGGATAGGTAATAATGAGTGGATAATGTACTGACAAGAATGGAATGGGAGGGAAAAAACGTGAAATGAAAGCAGCGCACAGAGCAGGGGCCCCTCCCACCCCATCGTGGCTGAATCCGACTCACCTCTTCCGTCATCATCCCATCGCATCCCGTCCCATCCACGTCCATCCCTCTAATCCACCACATCTCCCACCCCAGCTCGCCCATTTTCCTCCCCCCCCCCGGAACATCACCAGTCAAAGGCGCAGACGTCCACCAACACCACCACCCTACGCCCTCTCTCTCTCTCACTCTCGGCCTCCCCAGGACAAACTCCAACTCTCCAAAGTCATCCAAGCTACCTTCCCCCTCTCACCACACCCGTGGCCTTTGTCCCTCTGTCTACCTTTTTCTTTTTACTTACTTTTCTTCCTGCGCTTTCGTATTTCTCCTACTACACCTTTAATTCCATGCAACCTGCTACAAAACCATCTCAGGCCATGCGCCGTTGATCGATATTCCCGAACCCAAAGCAAACATGTTTGGAGGTTCGCGAAGGCACCGTCAGGCCAATCAGGTATGTCGTCATTGTGCCGACTGATGCTTTTCAGCTTTATAGTTTTCTCACCGCACCGGTTTGCTGCATGTTTGTTCTTCACCACCACCAAGAGCATTTGCTCCCATGCGACTTGCGCTACCTTCCTGCTCGGAGTCTGTGGTTCACAACTGATCCTGTTGCCATCTAGCCATTGACCGCCGCAACCGCAAACCCTAATGCTGCTACTGCAGCTGCCTCAGCATTCGCGCGACGCGCATCCAGCTCGTCTCTGTCATCTGCCGCCGCCGCCGCCGCTTTGCGATCACGACCTACGACGCCCATCAATGTAGCCGAAGTACAGACAAAGCGAACACAAAGGCGCAGTCGATCCGTCTCGTCGCAGCGAAGCCAGGATTTTCAACGGGACCTGCACCGATCGCCTAGCCAGAGCTCCATGACCGAACGCACCTTCCGCTCGCCTTCACCACACCGAACACCAGTGGCTGCTGCTGCCGATGCGCCGCCGGTCCCGAACATCCCGGACGACGTGCGATCCATCACGAGCCAGAGCTCCTCCCACAAGAGGTCGACGAGTCTACAGATGCAGCCGTTCCGCGTAGCGAGTCAGAAGAAACAAGATGGCGCCGGATCGTGGTTTGGGGCCGCGCACGAGGGCAACTTGGCCAACGTGAGAACGTCGGATGCCCAAATGCGCGTCGCCTCTCCAGAATCTCGCCCGGGAGCTGTAAGCCCAACTTCTTCTATAAACTTTTCATATCCGAGGGTGCCAGGCGCATCGCCCCCGGCATCACCAACCGTCGAGAGCATGTCAATGACAAGTAGCCAGCGATTTGTCTCACCCCGCCGAACAGAATCGGCAGCGTCGCGCAACACTACGGCGTCGGAAACCCAATCACTCGTTTACGACCCCAATTCAAGGAGGATGGTTCCTAGGGTGAACCTGCTGGTAAGCGAACAGAAAGTTCGGGATGCTGCTGAGAAACCCGTCAAGAAGTCAAAACACCAGCAAGAATTGTCTAGAAGTGGTTCCCACTTGGCCAAAGGTACAATGGGTAGAGCGCAAGGCACTGCGGTACCAACTGATGAGTCTTCGCCCACGCCCACGCCCGTACCGGCATCGGCACCAGCCCAGAAGCAACAACCGCAAGTTCGGGTTCCCACCGGCGCACCTGAACAACAAAAACATTCTCAAGTCGAGAGGACTATGCCGCCGAAGACTGTACCGACGCACCAGCAACCGTCTCCATCACCTGTCGTAACCACCAAACAGCCTTCTCAACGTGAATCTGAACCAGCTTACGCACAATCGGCAGCCCAACCCGAGGTAGAGCAGCCGACTGTGCAGGATGTACGTAAAAGTGATGGCGCTACGATTCTACCGCATTCGGAACCCCGCCAAGGCGCTCCCATACTAGGAAGGAAGCCTTCTATGGTGAAGGAGGAATCCGAGGACGACCTTGAGGACTCCTACGAGGCCGAAGCCGAGCAATCGGCAGTGCGCCACGATGTTTCTGATGTTCTTGATGCAGTACCCGTGAGGTCCTCCGCGCCTACAAAGCAACCAACGCTGTCATCCGAAAGCACAGCTGTCGAAGCTCCAGCACAGATGTCGTCTCAAAGGCAACCCAGCCCTCCACAGCTTAAGCAGCATGGCAGTATCAGGAACGGACGTGCGCACTCAAGCAGTCCTGCACGATCAGCCCGCTTTGCATTAGGCGCAGATCAACTAGCCATCAGGCACGAGCCTCCTCCGCGATCCGTCTCTCCTCGAAAGTCCGCCATGAAACACTCAGTCAGTCCATCTCGTGGTGCCTCGCCGTCAGACGAGGGCTCTGAAGCGTCCGGGCCAAGCCGGTTTGGTAGTGAGGCCACCGCAGTGGAGGCGCCGATGCCGCGTAAAAAGAGCGTACGGGTCAGCTTTGACGATGAGAACACCAAGGTCGTAGGACAATCTGCTGCAAAGCCTGAGCTGGATTCACCTCTTCCTCTGAGTCCTCAGAACACGAAGAGACATTGGTACAATCACCTGGGTAGAAGCCGGAAGAAAGATGCGGTTGCCCTCGATGAGGACGAGGTCATGCAGCCGCGACCGGCACTGCCGACATTCGGCAGCGTCCGTGAGAAGATGCCGCGGGACAGTGAAGAGGAGCGGCCGCTTGTCCGGCCCACTGAATCGCCGACGACATCTGGTCCAGATACCCCGGAACGCACACCAGACCGGTCGATCCCACTTGGTCAGTCCAACGACCATAATGTTGGCTCCATTCTCCATCTTCAAGAGCAGACGGCTAGGAACCCTGCAAACATATCGAGATTCAGAGAGCCATTGCCGCCCGTGGTAACGTCGATGGAAGGGAGCGGCTATTATTCGCCCAGCAGCACGAGTTCTGAGGACGAAGACGAGACGGAAGTTTTCCAAGATTCAGAGGTTATCCAGGAGCCCGCGCCAACGTTGCCTCCTGCTCAAGTCAAGGAGGAGATCATTGCCGACCATCCTGAATTGGTCGACCAGCCACAATATTCGACAGATCCTGTTCATGAGAATCACGCCGAACGGCAAGAAGACTTCGTCCCTTCCATCTCCGTTATCCAGCCGACACCGACTCCCAGAGAGGCAGTTACCAACGGTCCGGCCAGCCAGTCAGGTCCAAGTTACTTTGACGTACCGGGAGGCTTCCCAAATGACGACAGCGAAGACAACGTCGTGCATGCCCACGCTGTGCCTCGCACAGATGTGACAAAGCACGATCAGCCGACAACGACTGCAGTGTCCAATGGCACAGTCAAGGCACCCGTAAAGGCTATTCCTCACTCTGTTCCCACCGACGAATCTGCGTCCGAAGGCGATAGCATCTACAGTGACGCATACGAAGACCTATCAGATATCGACGGCGATGGATTCATGTCTCTCGACGCCGTCGTCGCATCACCTGTTTCTGACAAGGTCTCTCAGAAGCTCTACCAGAAAGCTCTAGCAGACTCGCATCAGGAGACTGCTCGCGACGCTGACATCTCGGGAGCACACCACGCGCCTGAGGTTTCACAAGCGTCAAGCAGCTCGCAGCAACCAGAGGACGAGTGGGAGAAGGCTAAGCTCTACTGGAAAGGACTGACAAGCGATAAGCGAAAGCAACTTGAGCAGGAGGCGTTGGAGGAAGCTGGGGTCGAAGGCGATCTCGAAGAGGTCACTCAGCCCGTGAAACCCAAGAGGAAGAAGTCTGTTCGCAAGAGCGACCCAGTTGAACAACAGCAGGCCTCTATCAACCCCGAGCGCGTTTACCAAATTCAGCCTGGAACGAGAGCCCCCGACGAAGATGATGAAGCAGAGCCTCCAATCGCTATTCGGAAGACTATGCGAGGACGGCAGGGTCAAGAAGCCGCGCCAGTTAATGGCAGACTTCAGAAGACAATGCGTGGTGCACCGACTCAGCCGTCCGCCGCCACGAATTCTGGCATGCGAAAGTCGATGCGATCGGACAATCAAGCTCCTCAAAGCTCTCATCAGGCACAAGCTGCGGCTGCTGGAGGTATGAGAAAGTCTATGAGACAGAATGGCTCATCACAATCAGGGCCAGCTCCCCAGCAACGAGCAAACTCGGCAACACTGGCCAGTCGAGATGTTCGCTCCAAGCACCTTTCTATGGAGAGCAACATGTCCAGCGTAGAGATGGCGAAAGCCATGCAGGCAGCAATGCAGTCGACACCTCGTCGACGCGGGTCCGATTCCAGCGAGACCAGTTTCCGACGGTCTCGACCAAAGCAGGAAGGATTTGGCTTCCGAAAATCGATGCGATCTAACGGAGAGGTCGAGCAGGCCGCAGCCGGTAGGAACTCGCGCTTCAGCCTCCGGTCAATGTCCCCACCTGCGTCACCGTCTCAACCACCGATCAGCATGGGCAATCGTACAACTATGCGAGGCACGTTGCGAAGTGATTCGAGCGACGGAAGCACGCGTCGCATGCGCTTGCCGTCTTTCGGCAAGTCATCTACGAAGAAGGTGACTGGAAAACCTGGAAAGAGCCGCTTTGGCGACTCTAGCGACGAAGAAGATGCTGGGCCCTCTGGATTCCGCAGCCGGTTTGTCGACTCTAGTGACGAAGATGAAAAGACAGCGCCTGCACCCGCGCCGCACAACATGCCCAAGAGCATGCGCGCATCAAGCTCTGCTGCGGCGGCTGCAATGAAGGTTCCTCCTCCGCGATACGACGAAAAGGCAGAAGATTCTCCGGACCTGCCTGACAGCAGTGACGAGGAGGCGCCACCGCCACCTGTTTTGCAGAAGCCCAAATTATCTCCTAGAAAGGTTTCTGGCGCTAGCGGCCGCCTGGTGAAGTCTCAATCGGACGGTCATGGTTTGCCGCCTCCCGGATCTCCTCGTGGAGGGCTTATGGAGTCATCCACAGCCCCTACTGTTAGCACCAGACCGAATCACGAACGCAGAGGCAGCTTCCTCTCTATCCTTCGGCGCAGAAAGGATTCCGATGCCGGGAAGATCTCTCGACCCGCCGCCGCCGAGAGCGGTGCTAGGATGGATACAAAACTCGAGCGCAGCGCCTCGGAAATCTCGGCTCTGCGTGGCACAAATGGGTCGAAGCTCCAGAAGCTGCCCATGGAGAATTGGCCGCTCGTCGAGGAGAACTTTGACGACGAGAAGCGGCCCATGACGGCTGATAACAACAAGCCTGTGGACGCATCCAGGCCGACGTTCATGAAGCGCCGGAGCACCAACCAGGTACTTACCTCTGGGTACCAAGAAGACCAAGGGAGCGTCCAGTTGGATCCCTCGGGCAAGAAGAAGAAGAAGTTTGGCACGCTCAGGCGGATGTTCAAGCTTGATGACTAGTCGTCTGGGGTATGCTGTTAACCTGGCCTCCCCAACACTACTTACACTGGCCATCACACAAAGCCCTCATTCTCAACTTTTTGTGAATTTTCCTCTGTTTTGGCATACGACACCCAAAGAAAGTTTGGTCGCTCAGCACCTTTCACTTTAACTTAATAATGGGCCAGCTCGTCTACCCAAGAAGCGGACTGGCTTCCTCACTCATTTTTCTTACATTCAAAAGTCACAAGTGGGAGCGGGCGTTTTGAAGGAGGCTTCTGGCATAGAGCATGTGCGAAAAGGAGTCAACCAACTGCTGCTTCCGTACCACAACACACACACTTACAACAAGCTTTTACTCTTCTTTCGTTATTTGTACGTGCATGAGAAGAGCGCCGCTTTATGAGAAGCGACTTCTGTTTTCCAACAATGAGAAAACGTGATTTGGGGGATACGGGGAGGAGGAGTACCACGCACACCACAATGGAGGGCTACGAAACGAGGGTGGAAGAGAATGGGATATGTACAAGCACCGCGGACTTGATTTCTTTTTATTAGTTTTCTTGTCTATTATGATACCAAACAATAACTACGGGGTATGGTTCGAATGCAGAGATGTGTGTTTTCTTATTACAACAATGACCGTGTCTAGAGGCGGTGATGCGTCTTGTTCCATGTGACGTGCTGTGATGAGTGTTGTGATAAACACCCCCGAGTCGAATTGCCAACGGGATATATTCGAAATCAAGTCAATAGCACCCCCGCCCAAGCCCAGACCAGCTACCTAGGTCTTGTTGTCTAGTTGGAAATAAGAAATCAGATGCCGGACGTGATGTTCAATCTCGACGATTCCTGGTGATCTGGTCAAAATGTTCCCCCCCTCTTCCCAACCTGCCTGAAACTCGAATTCCAAAAGAGCAACAAGAGAGCAAAGAAATTGGTTTCTAGCAGTACTGCCTAGATGGCAGTTGTCTGTGGTAAAAAGCCAACAGTCCAAGTCTCACCGTTCTCGTTGGTCAGTCTTCTGCTTCCTTTCCTCCGAGGTCCAAGCGGAAGAGCTGAGTTTGGAGCTCACACCCTCCTACCACGATGCCTCGGCCATGGGAACTGTAACCTCAACGTCGAGCGTGCACCTTCCTCCTTCCAAAGGGGTGCCCTCCATCTCCTCGATCGTAGAGCGTAAGACCCAAGTCCTCTCCGCTCTCCCAACTGCTCAGCTGACACCCGTCCGAGAACTTCGGCAGAGAGCGAGGGCTTCGGGAGAGAGCCATCTGGGAAAAGAATCTCCCACGAGGCGAGTGACATTCGAGAAGCCGAGGATGCAAAGCACTTGTTCGGCTCCTCTTTCTCCTTGCCTCTCCCCCTTCCCGAAGACACTTGCCGGTGGCGCGTCGATCGATCCCGAACGCACAAAAGTCACGTTGCGGACTCAGTCCCTACTGAGGAAGCCGAGCCCAAAGTTCCCAACCAGACGCAAAGACATCTGTAGCTGCCTGAAACCTTGATTTCCCCATGGGCCATGAAGAGAAGGCCGTTCTTGACAGACGCGCTAGAAAACGGTCCGTCATCAACGGCCTTCGGGGGCTCGCGCTTGCGAGAGAGATTGCTGCGCACAATAGCATTGTAACATTTCCATCACCCTAAACCCCCGTCCGTCCCCCCTGTCAGACGAGTGCTTCGAGAAGGAATCCAAACAACGTCATGGCGGACGATACCCCAGAGTCCAAGCGGGCCTTGACGATTCATGGCTCACCCCCCTCATCGGTGAAGTATTAGCTTTACAGTCGGTGAGCGGCTTCGGGAGTAGTCATTGGCGCAGTGAATTCAACCATCGTCCCACTCAATTACACGTCGTTGAAAGGGGCCCGCCTGACTACGTAGTTGACTTGGCCTTTCATGCCATCGCGTATCATCCGTCCGCCGGGAAAAGGCGGAGAAAAGAGACTATGTGTCCCAACGCTGTGCCTGCATCAGGCGGGCGTGTCGAAATTCGACTTCGTTAGCGTTACGTAGCGCAATGCTACTATTTGACAATGGTGTCAGGGAACTTCGGCTGTTGTCATTTTTTACCTCATTCGGTGGTGCAAAAGTTCGTCTTTGGCTGGGTCAATGTCTTCCCACGAAACGACCAATATGGGATGGGCTTGCCAGACGAGGAAATGAGGCGACAAAAGAGGTGATCTTCGTCCTCCACCATGGTGTCGCGTGTGAGTGAGACGGGAACAGCGTTTCCACTCCCCCGAAAGTAGCAGCGGCTGGCGGTTGTGTTCGGACTCTTCATCAAGTGATTAGCCAATGGCTCCATGTATTGTTGTTCTGGAGAGGAGCTGTGGTGTCGCAAGGTCGCGGCACCTGGTCACACGACGTGGTTCTCGGATGCTCCCCCGCATTGAATGAGATCAGAAGACCACGGGGACAAGGGGAAGTTGGGGAACGGAACGGGACCGCGAGGTCGGGAAAAGCAAGCTGCCCGGTCCGATATTGGTTCCCCAGACTTTTTGTCTTAGCTACTCGGGCAGCGAGGCGCAATAAGGGGCTGCAAAGCGCTTACCACGACAAGTCTTTTTTTTTTGCGTATGTAGTCTGGTGATTGAACATTCGCAGAGAGGCCCAAAATGCGGGCGAATGGGGCTCGCTGCAAACAATTTTCTCACCTCTCTCCCCTTTGTCACCTACACACTTTCGATCCTCCGCAAAGATGGACCTTGCGCCGGAAGCCGCTCCAGAGTCCCGCCAGTTGTCAGACATATCGACTCATGGCCGATGACAAGGTAGCGAGCGGTGAGAACACCGAGGACTTATCGGTGAACGGTTCGCCTCAAACGTCGAAAAACCATGACTGATACCCTGGAGTTTGGTGCACATTGTCTCGGCCAGCGCGAGGTTTGGACCAGTGGGAGATGCGCCGGCTCGCACGCGACCGAAATGATGGATTGCTGTGGCACCAGACAGCTCCATGGTAACTTTGCTGGGGATAATCGTCCCTTGTCATTGCCCTGGCAGACTGGGATACAGGGTATAGAAAGCCAAGTAAGGCACACCAAATCGAGACGGCGGCCGGAAATCGTCCCAACAAGATGGCCGGCGGGCTTGCTTCGGGATGGAAGGTTGACCGGAAGACGCAGTTGAGACAGCACATTCAGGGCAGTGCGACGGATACATAGCCCCCAAATCACCGACACGAGCATGTCGACCTCCGTGTCGGGCTAAGGTATCCGTAAGCATCGTCTCTTTCTGCCTGTCTGTCGCAAGCCGTAAACAAGCCGTGGCCAAGGGATGGTTTTGGAGCTCTTGCGACACCCGCACGAATGGTTGTTGGACTCGGCCGGTTCCTATCTGTCAATTCAGGATTAGAGAACAGGCAATCGATGGGTAGCGCAACTGGCAATTAAGCTGGGCCAGGGCTGGGCTTGGGTGTGGCAGGTGGATGGTTGCCGGTTCCCAACTCCCAGGGGCGAACACAACCAGAGACGGACCAACTCACCAAGCCAAGGCACACACCAATTTGTTCTAGAACGCCATTTTCTGGGGACGTGGGGGCCGCATCCTTGCTGGGGTTATTTTCGCGGTTTAATCCCGGTGCGATGCGCCAATGCCCTACTACTCGGGTGTATTTGTGGACAGTAGGTGTTAGAGAGCTCAATACTCCGTACACACTGTAAGGCGACTGCTGCATGTCTAGTCGGTTCGTCACTCAAAGTAATGGATTATGGTGGCGAGCTGTGCCCGGTGAGTGTTGCCTCGCAGTGAGGGCGAGGTCGCTCAGATGGCGCCTCGTGAATATCATCTGCCAGTCGCCGGAAACGTGGTTATTGAAGGCCGTGTCCGATACTGTCTATACGCAGTAATGCCGTCCAGATCACTCTTGTACGAATACAGTGGCCAAGCTGCGCCGCCAGTACTTGCTGGGGGGACTGGGTGTGTGCGGTCCAAGCAGCTTGACGGGAATAAAACAGGCGCAGGTTGCAGGTCGTAGCCGGGACGGTGCAGACAGTCGCAGTCTCGTCACAGGCGGGTGTGCGGCGGAAACATGGGTGGGCCCGAAGATGATGAGATATGTGATCTCGTGGATGGCAGATGGAGAAGTTGATAGAGAAACAGATGTCTCGGTCTAGAGCCTGATGGACCGAGGTATGTGTCCGATCCCTGATGTTGGTGTGTCGACTTTTTTAAGCTCTTGAACGCGCATGAAGTGCGGACAAGAGGAGAAGGGGAGAGGCAGAGGAGAGAAAAGCACATGCAGAAAAAGGAGGTGCTGGTGACTATAGTGGTTGCTCTGGTTGTGGTTGCTGTTTCGAGGAGGTACTTTTGGTGAAGGTTTTCTCAGACAGTACCGCCGGCAAAAGTTGACATAAGCTCAAGTACCCAGCGTGCTAAGGAACCCTCCCTATCTTGGGTACGGACACCTTGATTGCGGAACGGAACTAAGGTCAGGTAACCTCCATCTACGACGGTGAGGCCGTGAACTAAGGTAGGAAGGCGGACGACGGACAAACATACTTCGTACACACAGAGAATTAACAGCCCATGAGCAGCAGCCAACAGGAGCATATGGAGCAGGCCCAAGTCACACCTGAATGGTGCGTAAGGAGCCTCGTGTAGCTTATCTTTACCTCCCTGCGCTTCATCAGTGCACCTCCCCCGGCGGCGGTCTTTCACCTACCTTACCTCTCTACCTTAAGATCAAGGTACCTTGGGTTGAGGTGGATTGAAGTGTACTGGAATGCGCCGTTTGTTCCCGTTTTGCCGTTTTCCCACCTCGCCCTGCACCCCTCCCAGCAGTTGTACCGGGTTCTACGAGGACCTAGAGCATCGTCCGTACCGATACAGTACTAATGTGGTATCCATACCCAGTGACACTTTTTCCAAACGGTATTTCCACAGAAGAAAAATGGAACAAGGGGGAAACAGCAATCAGCCATCGAGTCCACTTGGGAAATCACAGAAAAATCCCAGCATGCAGGTAATGTCCCGCTGCCTGTCACCTCGTTTAAAAAAAGAAAACGCCAGTGAATCCAGTCGCAGTGTCTCGGCCCCTTTAAAGACTATTTTACAATGGCTGTTGATATGAAGTATATGTCAAGGTACCAATATTCGTACTCTCGAGTCTTAAGTCTATCTACAGATACAACAGAGGCTCCGCACGCAAAAAGCTACAGTCTGTGCCGTATAGGCCAAGGGGCCAGGCCATGCATGCAGTTCATATTTCATCCGAGAGAGTAACATGAACGGAAACAATGGCAGGGGAGTCTGAAGTGCTTCCATCCGTTCGTGCTCGAGGTTATTTTGGGTTGTGTGGTTGTGCCGAGGCAGTTGCGCCCTTCCCTTCTGCTCAATGTCCAATATCCAATGTTCAGTACCTTGTTCGATGGAAAGCAAGTGCCCAGAATCCGTCTTCTCTTGCCCTACTGTTACTACTGCCTCCTCTTGAAAGTGAGCAAAGTACATAGGTACTGTGAGGTATATGCGAAGCCAATCCTTCACTTGCCATATGCAGCGTTCCTGTTCCTGCTTGACCCCCTCCGTCCCGATCCATGCTTAAGTGCCCAACTCCAACTTCCCTTGCTCCTGGGGACCGGAAGTGAAGTGCCTGTTCCTGTGGCCCACTCAACCTTAGACTTCCATGTGCTCTGCTGGCTCCACGAGGGTTCAATGGACGCAATAGACGGCTCTTTGCCTGGGTTGTCCGTGTCTGCAACTGGGCAGTACCTTAGCAGGGACTTGTCAAGAACATGAGGCATCTCACTAAACCATGAACCATACAGCCCATTACCTTGCTACCTATCTCTGCACCTTGCACAGTAAGTGTGTAGATAGGAGTAGTAGAGAAGAGCTCGTCACTCTCCTCCTTGCTCTTAGTCCTTCCATCCCCGCCAGTGTCAGACCCAACAGGAGCCAGTCGGGACGGAGCCATCGCAAGCACCAGCGCCAGCCCAAGCAGAGTCGGACGGAGACTTGTACACTCTCACAGCCCTGAACCGTGAACGCCTGGTGTTCTTGACTAGTGCTAAGAGCGGGCACCCAGACTTTTCTTCCAGCCAAGGCACCTCACCTCACCCACCTCACGCGTCCATTCCGACAGTCTTCCTACCTTAGTTCCTACCCGTACGGAGTACATACACTACTTTACGGATACAGGTACCACCAAATATTCTAGCCCCAACCCAGGTACATACGATAACACATCCTCCCGTACTGGCCCCGAACCGCCCACACACACACACTGACACGCTGAATAGGCACTCGTGGCACTGCGACTGTAAATGTGGTCCAAGTCAGGCCAGGTATGTACTTCGAGCTTAGAGCCTCTCAAGTTCCCCTTCCAGGGCCCATTTCTTCCCTCGCCGTCTCCGTCTTTTGGGCTCTCTTCCCTGGCAAGCCCCCTTCTCTCCCCTTTTCCCCCTTCTGCCGCCTGTCCGCCTATCTTTTGTTCTCAGGGCAATGTAAGGCGCGGCACCGTAATTCCAGCCATCCAGGGTGCATTTACCATGCCTTAACCCCCGACTGGCCCTTCCCAACTTTGGAAGTCACATCTGAGTCGGAAGCATTCCAATTTTTTCTTTGCGCGTGCTCCATCCACGCCATCCCCCCTCATCCTCCTCCGCCTTCCGACCTTTCTCTCGACCAGTGCCATTTCTTTCTCTCTCATTCGGCATCAACAACAAAACAAGACAAACGCCTTGACGCTCGCCAGAGGTCTAGAGCATAGACTCACAGTTGCTCTACTCAGAACGAACGGTCCATTGGGCTGACCCGAGAACACGAATTCGATACCTGTGGCTCCCTCTGTCTGTCGACCTAGCTTCCTGGCAAAGCTATCCTTCAACTTTGCCTGCGTTACCATCCGCGGCTTGCAATCTCTATTGCCGGGCCCTTGACCCTACTTCACTTCACCTTGCCCGCTCTCATTCGGGCTTGGAGGCTCAAGGCAAAGGCACCGCACCTCAACTCTCCCGTATCTTACCGGTCGTCTCATCTCGTCATCGTCATCCAACGGCTTGTTTGAGTTCGTCTTTCTTTTCCACCGGCATCCCTCCCGGAGCCATACACGCGTTCCGTACACCTCTCATTGTCGTTGACAAACGGATGGGCCACTGCCCGTATCACAACTACTCCGCCATACCGTACCGCCCTCTCTCAACTCTGTTTCTCTTAATGCCCTCTCACTCTCCACAACCCGACGACAAATCGCACCCGACCAAAACCCGCAATCCATGAAAACGGCCATTTAGGGTCAGCCAACCCACAGCAGTCCGGGGCTTACCGCTTCATTCTTCACTCTCTCCAATTCTTGATACACTTCTCATCACCGCCTTTCTCAACAAATCATCTGTCTGCCACACGCGCAGACAACCGCAAACCAAGTAGCCAACCCAAGTTGCAGACTGCCTCTCACTTGCAGCTCTCTGCATTTTGTTTGCGTTCCTACAAATCGGCCATTGAGCAAACCACATCCCGATCACGTCCGACTGAATCGTAGAGCAACGACCATGACCACCTCTCCTCGCTCCAGGTAAACTCACATCGCACTTAGCAAGATTGCCCTACACGGCGGGGCTGTCTTTGCCAATCAGCGCTGCCTCCGCGAACCCTCTACTTCTGTCATTCTAGTCTCCAGCCGTCTTTGCCGTTGACCGTCTGGTCTCGGTAAAGAACACATTCGCTTCAAATGGATTTGCCAAAGGGACTCGTCAAAGACGACAGGCGGATATATGAAGATGTTGCAGCGCTCACGCAGCCTCTTCCGCCGGATTTCATCATAAGAATGTGGCGTCGTAAGTCAACAGCCGCTCGCAGTGTGCTTTCACATGAAAATCTAACGTCACGTCATAGTCTACACCACAACAAATCTCAAACTTGTTGATCCAACCGCACGCCGCTTGGAAAATCTGTGGTGGCATGTCATGGGCAGCGATAGAAGTAAATTGAAAGCTGCGACCGTGGCCAAGATATGGGAACACATCTCCTATGGTCCAACATTTGTGCCTCTCAAAGGCTCGCCGAACCGCTGGGAGGGACCTTCGGTATTTAAATGCCTCGCTCGATCCGAACTGGCACTTTGCTAACGTTATCCACAGACGCCTCGTTTTAACAGCCAGCATGAGTCTGATCCGGTCCTCAGCGCTCAGCAAATGAATCAAGACATTAAGATGATCTCTGAACAGTCGGCTCTGAAGGAGTTGTCCGCCTCATCATCTCGACCCCCACCACCACATCCAATTCTCAAGAAACATAGGGGTGACTCGAAATCTGGTCCTCGGCCGACAGCCCGGTTTGTGTCGCCTCACGAGTCTGCTGATGAAGACTACCAAACTAGCGATGAGACGTCGTCGGGAAGCACAGGCGCCAGTGGCCTGGAGATGCGCACCTCATCAGCAGTCTCCCCAGCAAAATCGAGCAAGAAGAAGCCCTCAACACCAACGAAACGATTTGTTGCATCAGCGGCGGGTAAGAGAAGGCCAGTTCTGCCAAGGAGAATGAGCTCGCAGTCGTCAACAAACTCCGACGTTGGGACCAAGGAGCCCGGTTCTGCCAACGGAGGCAAACATGTGGGAACTTACAACGTGATGCATCCTCATGCTGAAGAAAGTGCTATCCTGAGCGTATCCGGGTCAGAAGGATTCGAAATGCCGCCACCTAGCGCCAAAGCCTTGGGGAAACGACCAGTCGAAAGATCTATTTCGGAATCTCCGAGATCGGTGGGTAATTCCCGACCTGCTGAAGAACGGCGGAAACCGGTCCTTGTACAAACAGCAAACCGCGCGCCAGCACCAGAGCCCTTGAGCAAATCCGCAACCGACCGGTCGAGTCGCGAAGCTGGCACGGTCAAAGCCGGTGGTCCCAGGACGCCTACGTATATACCAACCGCATCACCCGCGGTCTCATCACCAAGAATCGGGTCATTCTCTTCGGCACGTTCTGGCTTTTCGGCGCCGCGTATGGAGCGGGCACCGTCGAATTCCGAGTCCTACCGACCGAGGGAGGCTAGCTTTGGTCGTGGTTCTGCGCAGGGGCTCATATCGAGCGCTACCGCGAGTACGTCGAACATTGCAGCCATGGGGCAGGTGACGATATCTGGTGAGCCGGATCGACGTGCTCTGGAAACCTTGGAAGGCTTTCAGGACGAAGCTGGACCCAGGGGCAACCCACGCCGAATTTCCTCCTCATCGCACTTCGCGCCGACAATGCCAAGCTCTACTCCCGATGTGCCACTAGCAAGAACAAGAAGCCAGCTGACGCTACTGCTGGAGCGCGAGAAAGAGCGCACTGGGGATAGGCCAAGACACAGGTCGTGATCCCGACAGCCAAAAGAAAAAAAAAAAGTCTACTTTCATGGCTCACATATAATCCTATGTACTAATTCGCGAGGTATCAACTGCATTAAAAGGGGCTTCTGGAGTTCATGGAACACAAAACGGGTGCAGTCGTTCGGAAGTGGATGTCTTGCTTTCGACTGAGGTTGCCGCTACTGGTAGTTGCGTCTGCCACTGGCAATACCGACCTTTTTGCCTTTTTTTCCTTTATTCGTTTCATCAGCTCGACGATGCCGACCTTTAGGAAGAAGGTTTGGCGCATTTGCATCGCACGAGGCGTTTTCATTACCGACGGTCACGGGGCCCCTTTCGCAGGGGAAACGCCTGACATGCATTACAGGAGGGGGGGGCAGCCACCAAAAAGGGTTCATTGTATGCGTTCACAGCGATTCAACGGGCAGCGACGGGATCATTTGAAGTTCGAAAAGAGGAAAGACGAACGGCTTGCTCTTGGTGCGCCATCATTTTGTCAGCGACCCACCGAGCTCTTACTAGCGAGCCATTCTAATGAGAAGATATCTGTTACCCAACCACCTAGCTGACCTGATCATCCACGAAGAAACAGAGATAGACGAGTGATGGCGATGTGACCATCAAGAAGACGAGTGCGTGTTGCCCGGGCTGAAACATGACAGGGGATGACGAGCTTTGGTCCAAGGAGGATCTAAACTGCTTTCTCTCCGGACTTGCTCACTCGGCTTACTCTGACTCCACAGCATCGGTGGTAATTCTGGCTAAGGCCATCGTACAGTCCCTCGATGGGAATCTGACTCGATGATCAGGCTCTAGGAAGTCTCTTAACTGTGAACTCTCTACCAAAAGGTAGTAGTCAATTGCCTAGTTGTGAGGGGTAGGCCATAGAGGATCCGTCAAAAAGGAGGGGAGGTGGCCAAAGACGAGGAAAAAGCAAAATCGCAACTGATCACGAGGTCAATTGTCTGGGACAAGGGAGGGGGGGTCCGACTTGCAAGCGTGAGATGGCGTCGATATCGCAACCTGGAAAGCCATTACGCAATCCGAAATAAGGGGTCTCTTGCTTATGTACGATGAGAGAGAGAGGGCCCCCTCCAAGGCTCCAATTTCCCTATCAGGGAGAGGTGAGAGTGATCTGCAGGCTTTTTTTTGATGGTAAGCGACTTCTTCTCAAAGATTCCCCCGTGGCAAGACTGGGGTTGTCTGTCACGTCTGTGAAGATCACTCAGTCCGTCGGATATCACTTGAAGGTAACAAGTATCCGTACACCTAGCCCCTCCCCTCTTCCCTCCCCCCACGCCTTGGCCACGCGGACCTGCCGTGTCGAGCGCGAGGGGCAACGACAGGTCGGAATGGGGCGGTGGGTGTGGGAGGAGGAGCAGAAGCTGTCGAAGCTACCCTGGAGCTTCTCTGTTGACAGGGGGGTAGCTGTGCGGGGTAGGTATACACAACCTTAAAGGGGGAGGAGGGAAGCTCAGAAGTTTGGGGGCAATGCGGTTGTGGGTTGTAGTAGCCGTTGGAAGCCGCTCGCTTACTAAGGTAAGTTGTGTGTACTTTTCCCGTCGTCCCCCCACGTCTGTAATTACCTTACTACCTGTCAATCCTGTCACGCAAAGTTTGGGCACAAAAGGAGTTGACAGGGCTTACATAGTGAGGTCGCGTTGGATCCCTATTAATAATGCACTGCCTAGCCCCTTCCGGGCTTCCTGTTTGTAGTGGCAGATTTTGTTTGAGAGAAAACTTGATACCTGGCTGGCAAGCACCAGAACGACAATGAGCCAGAGTGTTGACTGGTTTCCCCCCACACTAGCGGGATGGGCGGCATCCACGACCATATCTTACACTACTGTGACGACCTCCCACCCAGGTGAGATGGCCGATAGATTTTGACAAGGGGAGGGGGACAAGAAGGACGTTGCGAGCATAAGGTAGACACAAGAGCTATGCAGTATGCTTATCGCTCTCAAGGTCCTCACCGCGGCCTTGCTCCTCTCATTTCATCCTGCTCCTCCTCCTCCTACGCAACATGCGCGCTCCCCGGCACGTCTCCCACGTGCGCTGACAACGGCGCCGGGTTCGAAAAAAGCATCAGGGGAGGCCGCGGCATCCTTGTCTACCCTGTATCCCCCAGAAGCCTGGATCCTTCCATGCTGTGGTCCAGAGCTTGGGTTCCATCGCGTGGTTCATTCAGTTGAATAGGTATCTGTAGTATGAAAAGTGTTGAGAGCTTCCTCGGTGTGATTCAGTCAGCATTGGCACGGCACTCCTTGAGTAAGTACTGAAGGACCATGTCGACTGGAAGGATGGTTCAATAATCAGGAATCCCATCACAAACGTTGATACTACTCTATGCCCATGCCATATACAGCCCTTGCTAGACTACTTGCTTTCTGTCCTTCCCATGTTTTTTCATGCTGCTCATTCCTGTTCCTGTTATTCTCCCCGTCTGCCGAGCCGGTGGGATAGTTCCTATAGTCTTCCTGCCTCTTATCTCATCCGGCTCCTTGTATGTATACTCCGTGAGTCCGTATCACGTTTCCATACCTATGGATAGGTAGGTCACGTATACGCAAAACTCAACGGGTCCGAAAAGAGTCTCCGTTATTTTGAGCCGCTTGTCACATGTCCGCCAGGCATTGACCACCAGTTCCCGACATCTGGTTTCCGTCGTTCAGGTTGTCCATCACCTCCCACACCTACAAAAGGCTTCAAACCTCCCACCAACACGAGAGGCCGCGAACACCACAATGTCAACAAACAAGTCTCTCGCCGGGGGTTAGACAAGACACATGCCTGTCTGCCTACCTGCCTGCATATAAGTACGGGGCGTACATACAGCCCTCCGCCTTTTCGCCTATCTACCTTACCTTAGGTACCATATGCACCTCCCTCGCACCGCCCAACCAAACAATCTTAACTGCAAGTCGCTCAAAACCTCCAAGACAACAACGTTCTAGACTCTTGACGCCCTCCCCCGAACGCCCGACCTTACCTACCCTTCCCCGGTTCCCACCAACACGCCGGCGCCGTCCGTCGCACAGCATATGCTGGTACTCCGTACATGACAGGCAGTGCACGAAACGCCAAATCAGACCCGGTCCAGCGACCGCCCTCCCCGTCTCCCCATGTACCATTCCCTCCCAGCCTTCCCCCCGCAAACGCACGGCACGGCGTTGGACCCTCGATCGTGCAGATGTCCCAGTCACTTTTCGGTGTCTCGGTGCATGTGTGTTCTTGTACTGTGAGTGTGGTAGCAGCGGCGGCAGGTAAGGTAGGAGGAGCACCACTGACCAGTGCCGGCGGCCATGTTGTTTGTATCCAGCCGTCATGTATCCGTCATGTTTACCGATACCTATAGTCTCTCACGAGGAACCATATAAGTCAGCGTACTGTGGTTCCTTACGGTCACTTCACTGAGAACCAGAGCGTCGGGAGTACCGAATCCCAGGCCGCCCCTCGAGACGAGGCTTCAAACAAGACTCAAGACCAGGGTTAGAAGTAGAAAACCAGACGAGGCAATTACGGGACGGCGCAGGATAGGGGAGACTCGGCGATATGAGAGATCGGATAACTGTCGATGGCCCGTCCGGTGACCTTATGCTGCGGGCCCCGTAACACTGCATGTCGGGGTGGTGGAATACCTCGATCGGTGCCGACGAATGAGCCTCATCGAATACGCTGACCGGTGTAAAGCTACCTAGCTTGGCCGCCTTTCACATGCCACATCCACAGAGACTCAGTCAGCCTCTTCGAGATCTTATCACGGATTGTTTGATCATTATCAATTTTACTATTTGTCGGCGTATCAACAAATCGACCTTCTATGTTCCCATAGCAAAAACGCCAATCACTCTAGTGGAAATGCAAACTTTTGGCCTCTTTCCTCCTCTCCTTCTTCAATCCAATTCATATCAAGGACTCGTGGCGGCTTATGTGACGGTGTAACCGCCATCAACGCGGAGGTCCGCACCCGTGACGTAGAGAGAGGCATCAGACAGCAAGAAAGTGACGGGTCCCATAAGGTCCTTGGGCTGACCCATCTTGCCCTGGGGAATCAGAGAAGTCCACTTCTGCTTGAGGTCTGGGTTGTCGTCAAGAATCTTCTCGGTTCTGCACATGTGCGTTAGTACTGGCTGTCTGGAAACAAAGAATTTGGGTATTAGACTTACAGAGCTGTGAGCATGTAGCCGGGAGAGATGCAGTTGACACGAATGCCCGCACCAGCCCACTCGACAGCCAAGGAGGCAGCCAAGTGACGGACACCAGCCTTTGCGGCGTTGTAAGGTCTGTTTGAACGTGTGTTAGCGAATTCGATGCCTCGAAAGAAACAAGACTCAATGAAACCTACGCCTGAGGCTGGGGAATATTGACAATGGAGCCAGACATGCTGCCGATGAAGACCATGCTTCCGGGAGACTTGCGCTCCATGAGATGCTTGGCGACTCCGATAGCGAAGAGGTATGTGCCGTCGACGTTGACGCCCCAGAGCTTACGCATGCGCTCAATGGGGTAGTTGATGGCGTCGAAGTTCTCGGTGAAGCCGGCCGACGTGACGAGGTTGTCAATCTTGCCGTGAGCGGCGAGGATCTCAGCAATGCAGGCATCGACAGAGGCGGGGTCTGAGACGTCTGCGTGATGCGCAGTCACCTTGGGAACTCTATTATACGTTGTTAGGCGTCCGTCACTTTCTCGAGGTCAATAGGGTCATCCGAGTGCATACCTCTTAGCCTCTGGGTTTTCTCTCTTGAATGCTTCAAGCAGGTTCTTGGCTTGGAGCTCAGCCTCCTCCTCTGTCTCGGTGTCAGCACCTTGCTCTCACGGAATTCTGAAGCTTGCTGGCAATCAGGTCGAAAACTCACTGTTCAAGTCGACGATGGCAAGATCGCTGCCGGAGTAGACCATGCCTTGGCCCATAACCAAGCCAAGGCCGCGCGCACCGCCAGTGACGACGCCGGTGTGGCCATCGAGAGAGAAGGAAGCAAGCGTGGGCTTGCCAATACCACCACCGTGACCGCGGACCGGCTGACTGCTAGGCAACTGGTCGTCTTCAGGGTACTCGACAGTGACATCGGGGTCGGTTCTCGAATACTGGCCCGGGTGAGGCTTCTCTCTGACGTTGGGGCTGCCGCTGATGGATCTAGACTGTTGCTGCTGCTTGGGGCTAGTGGCTGCAATGCTAGCTTGAGCTGCAGAGGCGGAAGACTGAGAGGATTTGCCGCGGACCTGGGTGTGTCTCGCGATGGGACGAATGATCCGCGCCAGTCGGGCGCTAAGGGGACGGAACATTTTGAGTGTCTGCGGGTGTGAAAGTGTTACACGCGGTGTTGAAGTGTATGTACGTGAGTATTGCCGTCTGAAATAATACGACGGTCAGAGTCGATTCGAGGTGCCTTTCGGAAGGAATAAAAGTGTGAAGGCGAAACAATGATGGCGTTTGTTTCGGTTTTGGAGAACCGTTGACTTTTGCAATTGACTTCAGCCGGATGATGTCACGAAACTAGTTTTTGTTGGGCGGCGACCTGGATCGAGCAGATGAAGCTAGCTGTCTCTGGCAGATGCGGAGTTGACGATCAAATCTGGCAGAGGGCTGGTGGAATTCGAGGCGCCCAAGTTTGGGCAAAAGCAACGATGAGAGGAGCTATGGTGGGGTAGATGACGTGGGACGAGCGGGAGGGTGGTGATTGACTCCTGATCGTCTGGTTGTAAGTCTGGATCGGGAAGTACGTCTCGTAATTCGGGGTCGGTTGGACGTGGTTTGTTGTATGTGAGAAGTTGGCAGGTGGGAATGGAGGGGAGGAAGAAAGTCGCGGGGAGGAGGACACTACCTTAAGGTAAGTATGGCAGAGGGGAGGAGCTTGGAACCTTGGAGAAGACGCGGGAGGGAAGGAAGGGAGCTCCCGTTTATTATGAAGGTTGGAGCTTTCCATTGGGAAGGAAGGAACGACGGGACGGTAGGGAAGGAGGTTTAGGTAAGACATTCGTGGACACTGGCAAGTAAGGAAGGATCGTGGCGTGAGTTGATCAAGTGGTCAACTGGTTTACTTGGCAAGGGCAAACAAGGATTGGTGGTGTTGGTGGTGGTGGTGGAAGGAACCATGGAACTTGGTAGCAGCCAAAAAGAGAAAAGGGAAAAAGTTCACGATACTTTGGGCGTATGAACGCGTCTCGCAGCTTCCCGGTCAGGTCCCAAGTCGCAGGTTCCAGGCGCCGCATGTCGCAGGTCGTAGCACGTCCGCCGCTCTCGCACTGCCTCGCGGGGAGTTGCCCCGGAACTAGGGCTGGACTCATGGAGCCCGAGCGGACACCCATGGGCCAAAATAAGGATCGCTCCATGCCACCCACCGCGCCCACCGCCCACACTAGAACCACAACCCCGGGGCGGGGGTGGGCCATTGCCCCCAAATGGCCCTCTTCTAGGTGGACTGTCTCCTCCATCCCGGCATGCCCGGCTGCCGGCTACCAGGCCGAGCGGGTAAGTCCCTGATTTTGTTTACCTCTGAACTACCACCGACACTGGACGTTGCAGCGCATTCGATGATGGGTAGCATGGTACCGGGTAAGCTGAAGGCTAGACTTATATACTATGCAGTCTCAATAGTACAATTGAACAATAACAGTGTAGATGCTGTGAGTGAATGGCCTTATGCATGAATATGCGATGTGTATGAAATCTTTATGAAAAGTACCTGACTAGAATGCCAACCACGAGCAGAACATGAGATGAGAGAAACAAGACGGAAACCCCTTAAACCCTTGTCAAGGTCTCCATGTCTCCTGCTCATCATTCCGAGTTCCCCGTGTTCCTCGTGTCCCGAAAGGGACCCTGTGGAGTCAGGGAAAGAAACAACGAGAAATCATGACAGAGCTTGTGACCCAACCTGGCCAAGAAATGTGAGGAGCTCCAACTTTTTTTCCCTCCTCTCAAGAAACTTCCGGAGGTTTTGGGGGTCCTTGGGGGCAAAACATTGGGCATCTCTCGAACGCCATTCTCCACATTTTACTCCAATTTTCCCTGCACGGGATGAGATTCTAGAATGCCATGAGATTAGGACTGGCCAAGGGTCTGGCCATCGGTGTTCATCCTCACAGACACACACTCAGTCTCACACACCTCAGACCTCAGACGCAGACCAGACAGAGAAATCCTGACCTCCGGTTCGGAGACCGCCTCGATCATGCAGCCTGTCACACCGTCACATTATCACGTTGATTGGGATGGCCATGCTGTTGGCTTGGCCCGTCATCTTGTTTACCCACTTTGTTTCTTTTCATTCTCTGCTGAACACGAGGTCCTCTGCATCGAGGCTGACTGACTGACCGATAGTCCGGACATCACTGCTCGCCATGCTACCCCCGTCGGGCCACCGGCTCCTAACCCCAGTCTCTAGACTACTACTTCTTAACACTGGATCGCCGAACTCGGCTCTCCGCTTGCACCTGCCGTGTAAGTTGTTGAATACTTCTCTGCACGATATGCGGAGTGGAATCGTCAATACATAACAGTACTCTCTATGGGGGATAAATCCTGGTCAAGGCATCGCCAATAATAGCATCGGCCGTGCTGATCCCCTTCAAAAGCACGAACAAACCAGTCCCAATCGTCGTCAGTCACCACGCCTAGAGCCAACGGAGCTAGGTACAGCAGTAAGCGTTGCGAGTCCTCACTGTCGCTGCAACGTGCTCCATGTTGCATGAGGAATAGAGCAAATCTGGCTGTCTTTGCAAAAAGCAAGCCTCTGAGGTAAAGGTCCAACAACGTGAAATTGTCAGACTCTCTGTACCGCCGAAATGTGACCCTAGCATTGATGTCCTCGTCCGTCAATAGCAGACGCTTGCAAATATCTTGTGCCACAGCAAGGTTTAGGTTTGAGTCTGGAAGTCTGAGAACCTTCTCTGAGATCCTCGCGACCAGCGAACTCTTTTTAGGGTCTGCCACCTTACTGCCAGCTTCGATAAGCATAGACAGCACTTCGAAGCTGCCCACGCGCAAGGCAGTGTCAATGGCCTCATTCTCGTAGTTAAATCCGTAGAATCGTAGGGTCTTTCCAAAGTGTCTACCACAATAGGATGTAGTGTCGTCTTAGCCTCGTACTCAGAAGAAAGTAGGTCCTCGACGTCGTGAATGAGACAGGCACGCAACAGCTCAGCGCCAATGCTGGGATGTCGAGCAGCATATCCAACAGCACTGGGAAAGATGTCAACATCGCGGAGAACTTTGCGATCAGAACGCAAAAGTCGATAGATGATCAAGTCCGGAACGTCCAAGTTTCGTTTCGACGGATGACCATATACCGATCTTCTCCACGGTGCCAAACTGAACATTTTCTTCGTTTCGGTAATGTTGATCTCGATGTTGTCCAATACTAACTCAGCGAGCTGTCTGCTCTTGGTGCCTTTGGATACGCAGGCTGCCTTGCAAATCAGGTAGATGCCCAGCATAACTTTCCGATATGGATCGTCTATCTGAGCGCAGGTAGGCTTGATTAGGAATCTAGCCAGCCGTACATTGGCGTTGGCGAAAGCATTGATAATTGGAATGTGAAATGCATACTCAAGATTGTTCCAATATATCTCGTTTATTTGCCTCATGACGTGAGCACCATAGCGAACGAGCAGCTCGGCAACATCGCTATGGTTATAACGTGTAGCATATGAGAGAGGTGTATCGCCGTCCTCCTCCTCTTCGTTGACGTAAGATGCGGCGTCTGGATGCTTTTCTAGCAGCGTCCGGACTATTTGAAGGAAGCCCAACCCTGAGCAGATGTGAAGAATGTTGGTTGACGGAAGTACCTCTTTCATCCTGTCATATTCTCCTCTGTGATGGCGAGCATTGTTCTTGTACTCGTACCACCAAACAGTACGAAATAGCGATTCCTCATGGAAGTAGATGCTGTCGGCTGCCAAGAACTGGAGGGACTGCTCGCCACTTCTTCTCGCATGCCATGGCCAGTAGTCTCTCGCATATCTAAGCCATCTAGTGTGGCGAAAAATAGAGTGATAGCCTACTTCGATAATAGATTCCGTCTCTTCGGCACGTTTGAACCAAATTTGGAGCTCATCGAGGCATTTTTTGGCAATTTCGTAGTGTGTTTTCTCTGGCTTGAGGTAGAAATCTTTGATGGCTGAATCCATGTCGATATTGGACATGTAATCAGCAATTGACCGATGTAGAGGAAGAATTATGTCCTCTTCAGCTTCCCGTTCCGTATAATCCCTGCCCGCTTTCGTGATCCTCATCAGTGGATAGGATTCGCTGACGAGATCTTGTATTCTTTGGCGTTCTTCTTCAGGCTCTTCAGCGTCGGGGTGGATAAGGTCTGTCAATTCAGCCACTGTGACAGGTCTTCGGAGTAAAGCAACCCATTGAAGGATCTTGGCGGTCTCGCGGCGGGACTTATCGTCAATCTGCACAAGGAGGCGCAAAAATACGTGGCGAAGACCACATGGTATTTGATCCATCTTCTTCATCATTGCCGAAAGTGTCTTCTCTGGATAAAGATCCTCAAGCATGAAATCAACCCATGAAAAAAGTCCTTCGGAACGAAGACTGAGTTCACCAGCCAATGCATCTTGAGATTCCTTGTCGAGAATTCCCCAGTGTCGATGGCGCGCAAGTCTGGCCTTGATGACACATTCGAGATCATTTTCGGGGTCCTTCCCGTCGAGCGTCGGAGTCAGATGAAGGCATTCATGGAAACCTTCATTGGCAGCGCTGGATATGATGAGTTTGAAAGTGTTGAGAGTTTCTGGTTGAACCTGAGCTCCAGATGATCTTCCGAACTGCGCCTGAAAACTGCTGACAAGCCATCTACGCTCGTCTGGAGGAAAGTCGTTGAGCCCATCCAGAACACAATACACCGGACCCAGTTCGGGATCCTTTATTGTAGCAGTAAAAATAGCCCAGAGCGTGCTGCGTGATTTCAAGGTGTTCTCGATTCTCCTTGGGGTCATGCGCTTGACAGCATATTTAGCAAGAGTTCGATGGTTGGTGAAGATTTTATGAAGCTAGGTCCTAAGAATTGATGTTGCCGTGTTCTTTTCGGGGTACTGAGGGTTGTAAAAGCAGAATAGTACGTCCCCTGGTATACTCTGCGTGAGTTTTTCGAGTTCTTTGGTGATGAAATATGAGAGCATCGTCTTTCCTGTACCGGGAAGACCGGATATACAGAGTATCGCCGACTGCTTCGACTCCAACCAAGATCTGTAACTTTCCTCAGATCGGACCCATCTACACGTTCCTTCAACGAATCCGCCTTTTGATTCGATCAATTCCTCCAGGTCCACTTCAGGATCTGCGATGAAGAGAGCGTCGATGCATCTTGACAAATTATCTTCCATATCCGCTCCTGTTATCGAAATTGGCAGCATATCGAGTCCTGTAATGAGCAAAGAAACGGATAAGAATCAACCTGAATTGACATGGTTCATTCCAGCGACAAGAGTTGAACCGCTGCCAACATGAATATCGCCAATTGATATCGACATGCTAGGCGATGATGGCCTGGATGGCGAGGACGAGGGCAAACGCGAGCAGGATCGAGTCGAGGCAAAACGCGGAAGGGATTTCAGCCCCTTTGTGGCAGAATTTGCTGAGAAACCTTTGGGAAGTTGGGAAGAAAGAAAGATGAAGGTGAAGGTGAAGGATCCCATGACCGGAACACTGGGGTCCCATAGGCAGACGGTCCATCTGCTCTAGGGCTTTCTTATGTGGGATTACCAAAGACCAGTAAGGCATCTATGATGCAAGATGTAATCAGGTGATTCAATGCACCTCTTCTTGAGCCAAAGAAACAGTGTTGCCCCTTTGTCACAGTCCAAAATCGAGGTATCTGCCTGCCTGTTTTCTGGGAGCTGGCAATCAAAAGGGGATAACACCGCCGCCCTCTAGAATCTAGAGGCTTCAATTCTGTATCTCCTCATCACTATCACAAATCACTATCAGTTGATCCGAATACACTGCAAGATAGCTCAAACATGGCTGAAGTCCTCGCAACCTCAAGTGCCGTCGTCACCTTGACAGCCACAACTTTGCAGGGCATCAGGGGAGCAAGAGAGAAGATTGACAAAATCACGCGAGCCCCTGAGCTCATCGCCAACATCAAAAAGGAGTTGCAACTTATCCAGAATTTGATGGAGCGCCTCGAGATCTCGGTCAAGTCAAACGACACCGAAGTATTGTCCGTTACCGCAGACACCAACGTGCAATCCGCCCTCACGGCCTGTGGCGCCTCATGTTGTGCCTTGGACAACGAGGTCGACAAGCTTCTCCAGCGCTCGAAAGACGGACGGGTTCACTTGATGGACAGAGTGAACATCGGACTATTTGGCAAAGACAAGCTCCAGATTTTCGTGGACGAGCTCAGAATTTGCAAGCAGACTGTTGACTTGGCTTTAGCCGGCGCCAACTTGTGAGTAATGTATCGCGATCATTGAGTTTTGATAGCACATCTGATTTCCCCCCCAGTTTGGCGTCCATCGAGCAAACCAAGCAGCTTCAGGCGATCCTGAAGCAAGTTGAGGCTAATGATAATGATGCATACTCCGAAGCTACGCCCCAGAAGTCGAGGGACTTGATCAAGGGGTACGAGGAACTTCAAGCATCCCTGTTTGCTCAGGTCAATGAGAGACGAAGCAAGTTGACAGTGAGCAAAGTCAAGGTCTTGGAGTCGCAGGCCATCATCGGAATCCACGGCGCGGACGGGACCGACGGGGAGCTGGATGTCCAGCTTGGCAACGTTGAAGGCCAAGGATCCAACATGCTGGTGGGATACTCCAAGGGCGTTGACCTGAACGCTGCCTTTTTCAAGAAAGACAACTAGTTCGTGATTACATGGTTCACAGAGTGAGTGATGTCACTGCTATTTGACGGAGGAACACTCAAGCGTCCACAGACAGGAGTGGAGATCTAGAATTGGATGTAGAGGAAGAAGCCAGCTGGAGACGATTTTTTTGCAACACAAATACCTCCAGACTGTGAACTTGCTATTTCTGGATTCTCTATGGTGGCAACCTAATAGAAGAAATTTTACCATTCGAGTTCTACATGCTTTTGCGGTGACATCAAAGGTCCCGTCTTGATTCTTTACTCCTGAGATCCCAAAGTGGCTCGCTCGTTGTTCTTTACATCCATGCTACTTGTATTTAAATCACCCCAGGTGGGCATATTCCTTGTTGAATGCCCTTCCGATGACCATTCTCCGGATTTCCGAAGTTCCGGCACCAATCTCATACAATTTCGCACTGATAAACGTTAGTACAGAAGAGCCGGAAGGAACTTTGGGATCAACTTACTCTCTCAACAGCCTCGAAGCTGGCATTTCCTCGACATAGCCCATACCGCCAAGAAGCTGAATGCTGTCCAGAGTACACTCTGTCGCCCTCTCGGCAGCATACAAGATGGCGCCGGCGCAGTCCTGTGTCTTGATGATCCCCTCCTCGTCAACAGCCTTGGCCGTGGCGTATGTGTATGCACGGGAGGCCTGGAGTTTCGTGTACATGTCTGCCAGCTTGCCCTGAATGAACTGGTTCTGAGCGATTGGGATGCCGAACTGCTTCCGCTGGTGGGTAAAAGGCAGAGCGACGTCCAGCGCAGCCTGCATGATACCCAGAGGTCCGGCGCTAAGAACGAGACGCTCCAGGTCCAAACCCTCCATCAGAACTCTCACACCACCGTTGATCTTGCCGAGGATGTTCTCTTTGGGCACGAAGACGGAGTCAAAGTTGAGCTCGCCGGTGTTGCTTCCGCGCATACCCATCTTGTCGAGCTTCCTCGCGCAGCTGAAGCCCTTGGTCTTGGTCTCGACAAGGAACGCCGTGACGCCCTTGGATCCCTTCTCGGGCTCCGTCTTTGCGTAAACGACGATGACGTCTGCGTCGGGACCGTTGGTAATCCACATCTTGGAGCCGTTCAGGACGTAGCCACCATCGACGGCCGTGGCTGTCGTCCTCATGCTCACGACATCGCTGCCGGCGCCAGACTCAGACATTGCGAGCGCGCCGACGCTCGTGCCGGCAATCAGACCGGGGAGGTACTTCTGCTTCTGCTCCGGAGAACCGTTGAGCTGGAGCTGGTTGACGCACAGTTGGGAGTGTGCGGCATAGCTGAGACCAATTGAGCCAGAGGCACGCGAGATCTCTTCCATGACGACGCAATGCGCCTGGTAGCCCATGGCCAGACCACCAACGTCTTCATCGGCAGTCATGCCCAGGAAACCAGCCTCGCCCAGCTTTTGCCACATCTCATTGGGAAAGGCATTGCTCTTGTCCGTGTTCGCGGCCACTTCCTCTGTGATCTCGCGCCTTGTGAACTCCTGTACGCGCTCGCGCAGCTCGGTAAGATCGGCTTGTGACGGTGCTTCAAACCCCTTGGGATGCTTAGAGGAGTGGTGTCGGATCTGAAGGGCGGGGGCCGCGAGGGGTCGCAATTGACGCGCTGGCCGCGCCAACGATCTGAATGCTCTAACACTTGACATGGCTGTAGATTGTGCAACGAAATCGAGAATGAATTAAGTTGAAGAAAGTGGAAATGAAGAACAACAACTTCTCCTACGATTGATGATCCAAGTTACCTTGGCTTGATGCCGAGCTGGAGGTCCAACCGGGACAAGAAGGTGCTCGGCTACGGGCGGCTTTCAGCGGGCCGAGGTGAGCGATTGGACGTCACTGGAATGGTATCCCGTCAGCAAGCGAGCGGCCCTCGAACCTCTCCTACCCGTCTTCAAGGGCTTCGTCGGCACATGGAATGCTCCTCCTTCATACTCTCAAACTGCCGTACCCTTGGGATCTTCCTTTGTAAACGTCCAAAACATGTCTTTCTCACGGTCATCGAGGGATGTGCTGCTTCTGTCGCGTCAATTGACCCGGCCGGGGTTCAGGGCACCCCGCCTCCCGCGATCCGCCCGTACCGTTGCGACCTTTACGCCGCCGCACCAGGCGAGCGCCATCTCCCGAATCCAGACCAATGTCGATCCAACGTCCGAAGAGTATAAGGAGAATGAGAAGCACATGGGGGAGGTGATGAAGAAGATGCAGGACTTGACACGCAAGGTGCACTTGGGTGGCTCAGCAAAGGCGAGGGAAAAGCACCTGGCGAGGAAGAAGATGCTGCCGCGCGACCGAGTCACTGCATTGATCGACCCTGGCACAACCTTCTTGGAGCTGTCGCCGCTGGCCGCCCATGAGCTTTACCCTGAGGCTGATGTTCCCGCGGGAGGCATCATTACGGGTGTCGGCGTCGTCGAGGGCGTTACGTGTGTGATCGTGGCCAACGATAGCACAGTAAAGGGCGGAACGTACTACCCAATTACCGTCAAGAAGCATTTGAGAGCACAAGCCGTGGCTCAGGAGAACAAGCTGCCGTAGGAACCCCATGACTTACACGCCTCGGCCAAATCTTACTAAGACTGACGATGACACAGTTGTATCTACATGGTCGATAGCGGCGGTGCCAACCTCCCACACCAGGCGGACGTGTTTCCGGATCGCGACCACTTTGGGCGCATCTTCTACAACCAAGCAAGGATGAGCTCCATGGGGATTCCCCAGATTTCAGTCGTAATGGGTCCGTGCACTGCGGGTGGTGCTTATGTACCGGCAATGAGCGACGAGAGCATCATTGTTGAGAACCAGGGCCACATTTTCCTCGCTGGTCCACCGCTAGTCAAGGCTGCCACTGGCGAGGTGATCAGTGCGGAGGAGTTGGGCGGCGGCAAGATGCACTCCTCTGTCTCCGGAGTAACAGACTACTTGGCAGTCAACGATGCCCATGCTATTACACTTGCGAGACGGAGCATCAGCAACCTGAATTGGCCTACAAAATCACCTTCAACAGCGGCACCCGTGAAGGATTATGCTGAGCCTCTATACTCGCCAGACGAGCTTCTAGGTATCGCCAGTACCAACCTCCGAAAGCCCCTGCCCATCAAGGAGGTTATTGCTCGCATTGTCGACGGCTCCGAATTCTCCGAGTTCAAGCGCGACTTCGGTTCAACCTTGGTCACCGGATTTGCTCATATTCATGGCTACAAGGTTGGTATTGTGGCCAACGATGGAATTTTATTTGCCGAATCTTCTGTGAAGGGCGCACACTTCATTGAGCTGTGTGCTCAACGAGGAATTCCGCTAGTCTTCCTCCAGAACATCTCCGGCTTCATGGTCGGCTCCGCCGCCGAGCGTGGTGGCATCGCCAAGCATGGCGCAAAGCTTGTCACTGCTGTTGCATGCGCCGATGTTCCCAAGTTTACCGTCGTTGTCGGAGGTAGCTATGGTGCCGGCAACTACGGCATGTGTGGGCGAGCTTACAGCCCCCGTTTCCTGTGGATGTGGCCGAACTCACGTATTGGTGTCATGGGCGGTGAGCAGCTGGCTGCTGTTATGGAGACTGTTGGCAAGGCCGATCCCGAGTTAAAGGAGAGGATAGAACGGGAAAGCGACGCAACGTACTCGTCGGCCAGATTATGGGTCAGTCATTACCACTTACACGTCATACACTTTTTGCTAACCATGCTCATAGGACGACGGCATTATTCCTCCCCAGCACACCCGTCAATATTTGGGCCTAGGCCTTAGAGCAGCCATGTCAGGCCGGAACGAAGTCAAGGCTGGTGATACCAAGTTTGGCGTGTTCCGAATGTAAAGAAGGTAGATTTTGGTCATTTAGAAAAGGGAGCGCAAAACAAGCCATTTACTATTATTTCATTCTGAAAATCGACAGCCCTCTATACAGTGTGCCCTAAGTTTGGCGATATGCGCGGTAGCAGTTGGTAAGTATTCTTCATCATTCATCCGCTTTAGAGCAAGAACGTATGATTACCGATGACCGATTGGCGATAAAAAGACCACAAACGAGCCATCAAGCCCCATCTCACTTGCAATAGCTTACGTTTTATTAAGTGCCTGAGCTGGTTGACGAGGTTCCAGGTTCATCCGGGTGCCTTGCATGCATTCCCGCCGTTGCACTCAACGGCGTAGTGGAGAACTTTATTCGGGGCCCTGAAGATGGCAGTTTGACAGACGGTGAAATTTCCCACTCATATTCGCAAAACTCGCATCTTTCACGAAAGGAAACTCTCCGACCGGAGCAGACTGCCAAACAGAGACGGATTTGGCAGCATACGGAGAAGGTTTCTGCAACAGATCGGGAAAGAGCCAATCGCGCGGAGCTCTCTCCGGAGACCCACCGGCCAAACCCTTGCCGAACGCCGGCGGTGAAAGCCCCGGACGTGTTGCACAGCCAGCCTTGGGTTCTTCCCCTTTCCGTTGCCTCTTCAACCCATCACTCACATATCCCCATGCCTACGCATTTCATGACACCTCTCCACAAGTCTTGCAGATCAATCGTCAGCAAAAACGAACGTGGCCACAGCTACAGCCGTCCACGTGCTCATATTTGTGTGACGTTTACAACGGGTCTTGAGTGTTCTACACGAGACGTGCTGATCAATTTCTTTCAGAAGCTTTTTCCATCGCGTGTTCTACTGGCTTCGAGAAGCACGAAAGTACCTGACATAACCGGATAGGGTCTGGCCGAGGTTGAAGTATGGAATAGATGGTGTTATGGTGACACGCGACTAAACCTGCCCGGCCAAAAAAGAGTCTCCGGCCACGGCAGCAAGGAGCCGATCTCATTCGCTTGTTAGTTTCAAGCCGAATATCTCACCACCCGGCCAGAGATGACTGATCATATTTCCTTCCGTTTCTTCTCACCCACGTGGTGTGCATCGTGCCTCTCTTATTCCCAAACAAGGCACCCTTCACTTTTACCTTCTCTCCCAGGGCAGACCGCGATTTGTGGGCAACCCATGCGGTACACTCACACCCCAGTCTCACCGATCGCCAACCCATGCTTCACCGGTATGCGCTCACCGGGCTAGGCCCTGCAGTTTGTTCTTTTTCAATCTCTTTTTCTGTTTTCTTTAGGGCTACTAGTACGGATATGGGACCCGGATAGTGGGGTGAGTGTCTTGATGCCGGCTGCGGCGGGCGCAGCAGGATTGCCTTTCTGGCACCCTTTCGAAGGCGGTCTCTTTTCTTGCTTGTTTGTCAATGTCTCTGTCTCAAGCCTTGGCTCGGAGACGGCGATGTGCTACTGCATGAAGCAGAACCGGTCAGTGAAAAAAGATGTTGGATGGTCCCCGGAGGCTTGGAAGAGACGTCGACGCCGAGAGGCTGGATGGAGGCAGACCGATAGCTCGAGTGAGCCTTCTTGCCAGCAGGCTCTCGTGATACGGTTCACCGCCATAAGATCAAGGGCGGGTATATGAAGAGGGAAGCCCTAGTCGGTGAATTGGCTCGATTTGGTTTCGTTCGACCCAGACTAAAGGCAGTTGCCGAGGAGAGTTCTTTGTTCTAGAACCAAGCCATTCCAAAACCAGACAGCTTCATCTCTTTTCAGGCCGAGGATACATATCACCAGCTACCTTCATTCATCATTCTCTCACTATCAATTTGTCTCTCACTTTAGCTCAAATCATATCAACCCCTCTCATAGCCTATTCATCCCTCCAAGTTGGAACAAAATGGCACCCTCTGCTTTACCCGAAGAGCCCCAGATGTACGCATCAAGCATCTCAGAAATGGCGCGCGGCCGCAAGTTCTACCCTTCAAACAAGTTCATCATCAGCTGCGGCACAGTCACAATCGACATGCGGGCACGGCGCGTGCTGCTGATATACAACAAGAGACACGCAATCTACCAGATGCCCAAGGGACGGAAAGACATTGGCGAAGACCTTCTCGCAGCGGCGTTGCGCGAAACACGCGAGGAGACGGGCGTTACGGTGAAGCCCGTCACCTTGAGACTCAGCACAAGAGCTACGCCTGCGGGTGGACCCTCTGGTGCCCCGGAGGTGTCTGAGGAGATCACTGACACGGAACCGATTGCTGTGTGTCACTACCCTGATCCGGCTACCGGTGCTATGAAGATGGTGTTTTACTTTGTTGCAGAAGGGAATTGTGATCTTAGACCCGAGGGTTGGACGGGAGAGGACAGAGTCAAGTTTGACGTGAGCTGGGTCGATGTTGATGAAGCCGCGGACAAGTTGGCTTTCAAGGAGGATGGCATGGTCGTCACCAAGGCTCTGGAGGATTTGAGAAAATCGGGGTATGATATCTGATTTTGGGGGGCGCTTCATTGGATCAGGAAAAGTTGGGCGTTGGCCATTTCAAAACGGGAGGCAGGATTTGCGTGGGGTAATTTGACTTGAGCACGACGCGCAGGCATACGGTGTTGGCATTGTCGGGATCCTCTACTTTCTACGGGTTTGGGGAAAAGTCAAGAAGACAATGGAACTAGGCCAAATTGTTCACAGGAAGCAGTTTTCAATTGAAGTCTGTTTGTTCTGGCCACTTTGGTGAATCTCAGCAAATTAGCCTGGTGAGCCCATGAGAGCTACCAACCCAATGTCTGGAGGTTCACCCCGAGGGCTTCCCGACTCATTGTCTGCGAAAAAGAAAAGATGTAAGTGGGAAAAAAAAAGAGAAAACATGAGGAAACGGCATCACGGCCGCGGACCAACTCCCGAACATAGCAGGAGTCTGACAGCTTGGCGGTGACAGGGGCTTCCCATCCATCTCGGATGCATTATCCAAGCCTCCCCGGCGACATACTTGACCCCAACTTGCGATCGATTCATGGGAAGAAAGTTCAATCTGACAAACCAGAACGCTGGGTCTTGCAGGGCGGGGTGGACGGCGGTGGATGCAGGGCTGCGGCGGTCCAGCCCACCGCTGCCCGCGGCCGCTTCCCTGCCGTCAAGACATCTGATGGAATAGAAATGTGCAGTTGAGAATCGTTGAGAATTATTTGGTTCAATTGCATTTCAGCCCGTTTGATGATTGGTTTACTGTCACTTCACCGCGTATATGTCTCGTCGTGCCGTCCCTTGGCGTCTCTCGGTTTCATGAGTACGATTCATTCACCGTAATGGAATCGAGGAAAGACAGAAGGAATAGAGACAACATGGTTGACCGAGAAGGTTTAGATGACTAGCTGCATGAAGCCATGCTTTAGCGAGTCTTTCTTGACTAGCAGGCGCAATTGGTGTCTCGGGTCGACCGTGACTGCCGAAGCCGGCCGGTCGAACTCGGGACCGGCGCCGGCATTCATCGACTAGTGGGGCCGATCATACCCACCCTTGGCGGGGTCGACCCTTTTGCCGAATTGATTCTCATTGAAGCAAGTGGTGACATCACCCCCACGAAACCCCCCCTCCCACTTGGGAGAGTCCCAAGCTCCTGATGGGGCCCTCGTTGCTACCCCTCCATGGAGACAATCGAGGGACCGCGGCTTCCCCCCTCTCTTGCCAATCGCGAACAACGAAATCGTCCAAACAGAAGGGGGGCGCAGAAAGCTTCCGTTAGCTTCGTCTGTACTGTAAACGTCAGCGAAACGGAGGAGCTCTTAACCCCGCCAAAACGCAGCTTAATCCGTCATTGACTCTCCACTTCGAGGAGCCCGCACCCGTAACGTACATATTATTACCTCCACTTGACGTTTGAAGCATAATAAATCCAATGTCTTCCCACACTGCCAAAGCCGCGCGCTCCGCTTCCCAAGCTTTATCTAGATCGTCGTCCCTGATTCCCAAACAACCTCACTCCCCCACCCCTGCGATAGCTTCCCGACCAACAACTACAACAACAACACCAAAGAGCTTTGCGACTTGCTGCAGCTCAATTACCACATCGAAACCCCTTACACAGCAGATTCACAAGTCGTTCTCGACACAAGCCGCCAAGATGTCGACTATGCCCGCTCAGCACGGTCACAGCGAGGGATGCTGCAACATCCCTCCTGTCGTTTCCAAGGGCTACGATGCCAAGGGCAGCTACGAAGAGATTGGAGGAAAGAAGACTTGTAAGTCAATTCCAAGGCCCTAATCTACCTAGCCAAAGCGTCACAATGCTAACTCAATTACCACTACAGACGTCACCGGTCCCGCCGATGCAAAGAAGGCCATCGTCGTCACTTTCGATATCTTTGGATTCTTCCCCCAGACGCTCCAGGGAGCCGATATCCTGGCCACCAGCGGCGCTGAGAAGTACCGCGTCTTCATCCCGGACTGGTTCGCTGGCGAGCCATGCCCCATCGAGTGGTTCCCTCCCGACACCGAGGAGAAGCAGAAGAACCTCGGCGGTTTCTTCCAGAAGTTCCCGCCTCCCAAGATTGCCGAGCAGACCCCCGAGTACGTCAAGGCCATTCAGTCAAAGTACTCGTCCATTGAGTCTTTTGCTACCATTGGCGTAAGTGTTGCTCCATACAGAGTAATTGAGTAAACGCTAACAAATTGCAGTACTGCTGGGGCGGCAAGGTCGTTTCACTCGTGACCTCGGGTGACAAGAACCCCTTCAAGGTCGCCGCCGAGGTCCATCCCGCCATGGTCGAGCCTGAGGATGCCAAGGGCATCAAGATTCCACTTATTATGCTCGCTTCCAAGGACGAGCCCGAGGAGGATGTCAAGAAGTTCGAGGCCAACCTCAACGTGACTAAGCACGTTGAGACATTCAAGGACCAGATTCACGGATGGATGGCCGCTCGTTCTGACTTGGAGGACTCCAGAGTCAAGGAAGAATACACCCGCGGCTACAAGACAGTCCTTGAGTTCTTTGGAAAGAACTTCTAAGATTGCGTGTAGATGGTAACAATAACGAATGAAGAACGAACTATAATGAAAGCACATCTCTGTGTACTGCCCATCCTGAGTCTGCTATATGTTTGCTAATTGGCCGTATCGTTTGCGTTTGAACGGACACCGATTTTACCAGCTTAGTTGTCTAGTTATTTTGACTACAAGTCAATGCAAACTAGCCACCGCACCTAGTATTTAATACAATTAGCCATTTAAATATCATACTTACATCAATGATTGCGCCTAGCTGATAATAGTAGAAATGAAACGTTCCTCATGCATAGTCAATGTTGTTTGAACGAAATTGTTGACTACGACTGATAAAATCATCAGTATACTGAGCATTAGAGTGTAAAGCGGTTCCCATGCTGACTTATAGATGTACAGGTCATTGTTCATACACAGGCCAGCAGGGCAAGGTCTTTTCAGCCGGTACGAAGCTCAATAAATTGCGTATGTAAATGGAGGGAAGAACTCAGTGGGTGTAGCCCACGATTTCTCCGTCCGTTTTCCAATGACCCTCTTCTGCCCTCTTGTTCCAACAACAATAGCTGGCACTGGCATGTCGTCAAGTTAAACATGCATCATTAGTAGACCAAACGTTCTCAATGAACAAAACTGATTTGAAAACCTTTTTGTCATAGCGAAATGACTCCGCGGAGAAGAGGGAATTGCAGCCTCACAGCAGCTGGCCTTGGTGGTAGGACCAGGTCTCTGTGTTTCTGAAGAATCTCCAGGAAGTCTTCGACAGAATCTCTACGTTGCTACATTCATTGTGTCCCCAGACAGCGCCATGCTCTTTGAGTAACATAAACGTCCACAGATCCCCCTTTCTGGCCGCGGTCATCATTGGGACTTCCCCATTGAATACCCCATTGACGTCCACGACCTTTCGAGCAATCAGAAGCCTTGCAAAGCGTCCATCGCCAACCTCGATAGCGTCCTGCAACGCTTGTTGACTATTGCTGCAGTTCTTGTCAGCTCCAGGATAATCCAATATGAGTTGCGTAACCTGTCTGCGCTTCCATGATGAGCCACGGTCCATTGCGTGCCACAAGGCCGTTCTGCCGTCGTCGTCCTTCAGATTCAAATCGAGATCAGTTGACTCAAGAAGCATCTCCAAGTCCTGCAACTGCCCTGATTTGGCGGCGTAATGTAGCAAGGTCCGGCCCTTTGCGTCCTTTGAGCCCATGTCGAATCCGTATTGTTGGAATAGATGGACCACTTCCAAGTCGAAGCTAACCTGAGCGTGGACCCACACGAGGTTGCTGTGGCCAGCACCCGTGTTGGCGCCGTGCGCCAGAAGCGTCTCAATGATACTTCTTCTATCTGAGCTGCACAAGGCTGCGCAAGCGCAATCCAGCGGCGTCCTGCCATTGTCATCAGGCGCATCAATCTCGGAACCCCTCGCGATAAGAAGCTGCACAGCTTGCAGATTTGAATGACTCGCAGCCCATGATAGTGGGTTTCGCCTTTCTGTATCCGCAGTCTTGATATTAGCATCCCGTTGTGCCTGGTCCAGAAGAAACTACAAGAGCCCTAAGTCGGCTGGCAGCGGCTCGTACTGGAAGAAACTAACCATTAGACGCTCGATATTCTATGTCGATGTCCATCTCTAAGAAGACTTCAAGTGTCGGGATGTTGCCATTGACGATGGCCCAGTACATGGGCGTTCGACCATTCGAGTCTTGAGCTCTGACGTCCGCTCCTTTCTCCACGAAGAGTCGAAGAAGTGAAGCATCTCCTATCTGTGCGAGCATTGATACGGGACTTCGGCCGTCTGAATTTCGCTTATTCAAGTCATAGTCCTGAACTTCAATGGTCGCCCCATGCTTCATGAGACTTGAAAGCGCCACCCAATTGTTCGTCTTGACGGCCAATGATACGGGAGTCTCTCCGTATTCATCCCTGATATCGACCGAAGCCCCAAGGCCTAGAAGATTCCAGACTGTTAAGTTCAATCCCAAGAAGACAGCTTGTGCGAGAGGAGTCCTTCCCATAGGATCACGCGCATTGACAGGTGCCTTCATGCTCAGAAGTAGTCCTAGAGCTTCCGCGAACCCCGTGTCATACGATGAGATCTCTGTCAGGTTAGGATACTCTCCCAAGACATGAGGTAATTGTCCCGTATGCTTCAAACAGTCTGCCAGCAGTTCGAACAGCCGCGGTATCCATCCGAGTCGGCTCCTTTCATCCAGACCCGAGGCTATGATATGAAGGACTGCCCTCCAACCGGGCTCGGTCAAGAAGGGTTGTCGAGGTGGACTTTTGGGCACAAAAACAGCCTCCCTGGTTCTTATTGGCTCTGATCTCTGGAACACGTTGTGAGTAGACCAAGGGTTTCGGAAAATCAACGCGTGATCATCCGGCTTAAGTTCACTGTCGAATCTTCTCTTGGCGTAGAAGTCAACGAGCGCCTCAAGAGTTGCGCTGTGTGTCTCTTCTAGCGCCGCTCGTATAGATAGTCGAACAGTGCGGGATGAGATTCTGCCATGCAAAGGCCGAGGGAGTGCTGCGCTCTGAACGACGTCGCCGTCGAGCAAAAGTTTTACTACGTCTGTCTGATTCCCAAACGCAGCCCACCATAGGCTTGTATTGTCACTGTTATCGGCCAAGTCTCCTTCATCTTCTTGAAGGCTGTTTGTCTCAAATAGTTGGATTATTCCAAGGTACGCTGCGACATGTGCTGGCGTAAGAGGGACGCGCGGAGCCTCACGTAACTTACAGAGAACTGAAAGTGATCTGTCACGCATGACTTGATTTCGCAGAAATCTCACAACTTCTGGAGGCATGGTGGAGCATGCCCGAGCGTGATCTCCCCAGTGTATGGCTGCATAGTCGAAGAACGAAGCCGGCTCGGGTTCCATCCGATCCAAATACCAACCGGACGGACCAAAAGACTTACTGTCGTCATAGTAGACATTCTCGAAAGAGAGATAGCCAACGCATGTCTTCGCTATCTGCGACTCAAGTTCAGGGAAGAATTGATGCCTTTTCTCTTCGAAATACTCTTGTGTTGTCTGGTGCACAAGTCGCACCACGCCACTTTTTTCACTGACCGTGATCAGTCCGGCACATACCGAAATCATAGTTTCGGCTGGCGTGATGTTGTCTTGGTCTATTTCTGCCTCGTCTTCTTCGATGGCAAGGGCATGCTGCAGCTCTACGACTTTTAGAGGTCTCCTTGCGCCAGTAATCCAAGAGAGAATGTTTAGCGCAAGCTCGATACGCTCAGAGGACTGAGACTCGATACGTTTCATGGCCTCGTCGTATACAATTGAGTAGACGTTTCCCTTCCCATCGGTTGCCCCAAAGGCTTTGAGTGCCTTCTTGAGCTCCTTTGGGTTCAGCTTATTGGACCAAGCATCTATCAGGAGTCTTGCCAACAAGAACCTGTCTGCGTTAGCACTACTTCAACTATGTGAGACGCTGAAGGATCGACTTGAAACTTACATGCCGTTCACTTTTCTCGCGATGATGCCTTTGATTTCATTCTGTAGATCGAGGTTGCCACGGACAAAGCTCTGCATAGAGGCTATTCGGCCTGAAACGTATTTGAGTACGTCATCCTCACTGGCTCTAATTTCTAGAGGGATAAAATCTTTTAGTTCCTTTAGCTGAAGGATCTCTGGAATATTTCTGGTGGTTGCAAAAATATTGATTTGGTATCTTTGTTGTAGCCGCAGGATCTCTTGAAGAAATTCTTGTCGAGCGTTTCTATCACACTCATCCAAAGCGTCAACGACAATGAACACTCTTTCATAGCAAGAAGATATAGTCTGGAGCAGATCAATGGTCTCCTGAGTAGATCTTAAGGTTTTGAGCCTCTGGTGTGTGTCGTAGAGCGTCTCAAGACTTCGAGGGAAAGGGGAGCAGGATTGCGCTAGTTGCTTCGCCAGACTGGATAAGAGATCGTGGCAAGTTTGGCGTTCAGTGTCCTTGTAATTACAATAAATGTAGGCTATCCCGACCCTCGGTTCATCGCGGAATCGGTGTATCAAATGGTCTGTGACGACGGAAGTCATGATGGTCTTGCCGGCTCCTGGCATACCACGGCACAGCAGGGTGTGGCCTTTGTTTGATGCCCATTCGAATTCCTTGGACTCTAGTAGCCAGGATGCTGTTTCAGGATGCCTTTTGGAGAAGTAATCTCGTTGCTGTGATGAATAGTTGGATGGCGTCAGCCACTCCAGAATTTCTTGTTGACGTTTGCTGACTTGCTCATGGTGCATCAAAACCACCACTTGCTTTGTGCTTTGGGTGGCTCGACTGTAGACCTTCGTCAGCCGCCGTGCCAACGGGGGTGCGCTTACGAATACTGACCTATCTGATGCGTTCTTGAGGGTATTCAGGAGTGCAATTTTGACGGAGAGGCTTGATTGAATGCCGTTGATCACTTTTGGGTCGAGCTGTAATCGCTGAAGGTACTGCAAAAGCTTCAGCTTGTCCCATCTTCTCTTTTCGAGAGGCTTGTTGAGTTCCTTGCAATCGTCCAAGATCTGTTTCAATCTCTTGAGGTCCGTGTAGGAACCTTCGATGATCTCCCCCAGAATTTGTTGCTCCTTGTCATTAAGATGCTGCTGCGGGTGGCAGGCTTCCTCGAGAAGTGGTTCGATGATCTCCACGCTAGCGCTGACTGTCAGTCAATACTTCTCTGACGGATGCACGATTTGAAAATGCCGAGAGCATACTTCTGGACTAATGAGACAAATAGCTCTGGCGCCTCAGAAAATCTGTCGTGACAGTGTCTCAACTTGTCTGTGACAGCGATAAAATCGCCAACGCCAAACCCGAAACTCATCATAGACGGAGTTACCCGCAGGCTTTCATAGGCACATGAACGCGGAGACAATCAAAGAATGAGGGTCACAGAGAGGTCGAGGGAGAAACTGGGAAATGAAAGAAAAAGATGTTACTGGGAAAATTCTTACCCACTTGATCGGGCGTAAAATTGTGCTGCGACCGCACATGCAGGCTATGCAGTGGTTACACTTCTCTCCACCAGAGATGGAAAACAAGATTGCCCTGCCTGAACTACATATTAATGTGGCTACGTAGGCATGTGAGGCTGTGCCAGACAGGCTGCAGCAAGTTGTTGGGCATCGACACACTCACCCCTGCCTAGTGATTTCTACTCAGCTGAATGCGAGGCCTTGGGTATTGTGCCTGTCTGTACGGACGACGACCAACAGATTGCTTATGATCCACATGCTACCAACCGAATCTTGATTCCAACTCAACTGTGAAGTCAAGCACGTTGCTATTTCATAACGCCTGGACAAGGTAAGCACCTATTTTGAAAGGTATCAAATTTCGAGAAAGACGAAGAAGAAAAAAGAATTCACGAAATAGGCGATAACGGGCATGTGTTGCTCTAGAGGAAATTGAGATTGCATATCACTCAGTTTTCTTATTAATTTAAACCTTGGTAGTCTCTTGCGACAAAGGAGACAAGGCAATTTAATTGGGGAGATGTTACTTAGCATCATTGCATCACGTTGGTTGCTTGAAGATAGTCATCTGCGTACCAATTACATAGTCTTTTAGTAAGTGTTTCATGTTTTTGATGAACGTGAACCAGAAAATTCCTTTTTCAACCCAGTTAGTTGAACGGTATTCGGACAGACTTCAAAGACCTTGATCGGATTTTACTTGAGATTAAGGATGCTCGTTTCTATAGCAGGGATGAGCTCCAAGGCGTGGAAAATGAGCCTGTAAGAAAAGGAGTGATAGCTACTCGGGCATTTGAAGCACAAGTCCTCCTTGGGAAACTCCATTCAAGTGTGCAGCTCTTGCGCAAATTATTCAGGCATACCTCGAAGAGGATCATCACGCGTAGCAGAAGTTCACGAGGTAGCGTCTTTCATCAAGTTGTTTGAAGAAAGGGCAAACAGTGCTTTCCCACCTCTCTGGCACGGATATTACACGATGTACAGGTAGCGTACCAAAACAATTTCAACTTCCACGGCTTCTAACCGGCCAGCATCAATACACGCTGATTCATCTGCGATAGTTGTCCCTCATTTCCGAATCACTGTCGTAACTCGGGTTTTGACGGTAAGGTCTCGTACTATCTGCACCGTGATCCCCCTGGACAAAGTAGCAAGAAAGAAACCGTTTCATTGCAGCGTGTGGTTAAGGTCAACTAATTTCCGATAAGCTTCTACACCATGGGGTTTAACCCAAGCAAGCATCTCTTCCATATAGTCCTGATCAAGACTCGCCCTCAAACTTGTACCAGAAATTTCAGGCTGTGGCCAGTGACGGGCGAAACATACGCTTGCGTTTGTCGCAACGTCTGATATGTGAAAGGCGGCATTTGTCTCAGGCGTTCATCAGAATATTGAGATATCACGGGAGGGGATGCTGAGACGTCTGGGTCAGTCCGACGCCCACGTCTGCTCTTCATCTGCGAATCATTTCCGCCTACGCTTGTACCACTTGTAACCAGACTCAGTCTATAATACGAGCATAGCACCACCGCCCTTCAACCCATCTTCTCCTCCGCCTCGGAGAAACAACCTCAAACCCCTTCCCCTGAACCACCGTGATCCCAGCTCCATACTTCAACAACACCCCAAGCGCCCCAACATCCTTCTCCCCCAAAGCATACGAAACAGCAGTCCGTCCCCTCCCATCCCGACGATTCACATCTCCATCCCCCCGACCACAAAGAAACTCCACCAGATCCGCAGTCCCAGCCGCAGCAGCAAGATGCAGCAACCCCCTCCCCTCCCCATCAACATCCTCAACTCTCACCCTCGCATCCTCAAGAAGCACAAACAAAGTATCCGTATCAGGCACAAAGATCCGACCAGACTTGATCCACGCGCAGAGGGCATACCACACCGGCGCCCGAAGCTCCCCGTCTTTGAGGTTCACGTCTATACCCGGGACCGCCATCAACAAGCGAGCCATTGCCGGGTCCGTCGTTTCCGCGGCGTATGATATCGCCGTTCGACCGCTCGCGTCGGATAGGTTGACGTCGGCTTTGTGGTCGAGGAGTAACTTGACTGTGTCCATGTTTCCGCGTCGGGCGTGTTCGCAGAGGGGGAGGGTTCCTTGAGCGGATAACGTGCTTGGGTTCGCGCCCTGTTGGAGAAGATCCCGTGTTTCACTCAAGGATTTCTCATCGGTGATTTCGTGTAGTTTTCTGTCCAGGTCGGTTTCTGCTCTTGAAGCGTTCACGGGGATAGGTTCTTGCTTCACTGGGTCTGGATCTTGTGTATTGAGAGACACTTCGGTCGTGGCGTTACCGACGTCGACCCATCCCTGGTCGATAGCTTCACGAGGCTTCGGATCCATCAAAATCCCCTTATTGAGTTCGCCGGGGCCAGAAGATGTGTGATTGTCGACAAGTTCCTGGAGCTGTCGGTTCAAGATGGCATCTACACCGGAACCGTACACCTCAGGCTTCACCGCGGGAGCAACCTCAGCCAACTCGCGCCGTCGCGCCTCCGTTTCTCGAATTTCGGACCTGGTATTGATCTCACGAACCATCGTCGGTGCTGAAAAAGGGAAGACAGAAAAGTCAGACAAATTAAGTGCAGATTTCATCTAAACTTGAAGAATCTACCAGAGACATACCTGCTACTCGGCGAGCTATTTCACTCCAGCTTGAATATATGCGCTCGTTATAAGACGTCTGGGAAAGACGAAGGAAACAAAAATCACTAGATGACACTCCTCAGCGTCGTCAGCACGGCTTTTGTTGAGCCGACAGAAAACGCCAGCCTCGCCAATACCCGACACGCCCACACTTACACCCAAGAAAAGCCAACCCACGGGACGGACGCATACGCACCAGCCTATCACAAGGCAACCAAGACCAACCCGACTCTCTAACCCTTTTGCAACCCCCCTGAAGCCTTGCAATTCGCCCATCCATTGCGCCCCAGAGTGCCGATCTCACTGGTGTAAATGGTGGTTACACACCAGGCAGCTATGTGAACTTGTTCCTGCGCCACAAGGTCACGCGCGGGGGAAGGTATATGTGAGGGGAGCACATCGCCCAGCTTTCGGCTACTAGGTTAGGTACTGTATAACTCGCACGGAAGACTCTCTCCTCGACCAGCAGATTGGTGGTCTTGGAGTGTGCTCAAAATTACAGCTCTCCCTTCAAGTCGTGTGGGTATAATCGTTCTCGTACCCGACTTCTGATAAGATTGACGTAGCCATCCTCGTGTAATCTGGTCCTTGCTTCAATGTCACGTTTAAGTCCAAACAATGTATGAATCTGGAGGCAATTTTCATTTTCTTTCATACATCAATTGGCTTTCGAAACGGCCAACCTCACCCATTAGCTAAGTTATCTCATGCAACCATCTGTCTGCCGTTGTCGCATAACGCGACCAAATCAAACGCCAAAACCTCGCCAGTCCCTGGTATGCTGCCGTCCCGGAATGAGAAGAAGTGAGAAAAAGAAGATAGTTACACAAGCAGCAAAGAAACCCTCCTATGCTCAAGATGTGAGGAAAAAGAAAAGAAAAGAAAACCAAACCACAAGTCCGAGGTCACATCCGCCGGCTTGTCAACTAGGCAACCAGGGATTGGGGCTCGGACTTCTCGCAAGTAAAGAGGTTGACGTGGTAGTCTCCACGAGCAGCGCAAGCCAAGATCGGCTTGTGCGGGTGGAAGGCAGTTGCTGCGATGGGAGAGCCCCTGTTCTGCTGAAGGAAGCTCGAATACGGTTCGACACGGGACAACTCTTGACCGTCGAAGTTGAAAACCTTCACGGCATGTGCAGATGTACCACTGCAACGGAATGTTAGTTTCAATACCGCAATATTAAGAGGGCCAGGATGATAACTTACACAGCAAACACCGGCAGATGTTCATGCGTGCTGGCTGTTCGAAGCGTGTCTCGAGTTGTTTGGTAAACGTGGAGAGGTCGATCCATGCGAATATCCCACAATTTGACCTTTCCGTTTCTACTTGCGCTGAGCAGTTCTCGTTGTCCGCCGCGCTGCAAATGAACGCTCTTGATCCATTGCCTATCCGTTTCGTCCTTCCACTTCTTGATCATGGAGTCCTGGGGTCTGATGCGGGTGTCGAAAACGCGGACAGCGCCGTCGCCGAACCCTGCCACAACTGTGTGACCGGTCATTTGGTCAGATGTCAAGGACGTGACGCAGGAACCAGACCGGGCGGGAATGTCAATGACGCATTTTTCAGCGCCAGCAGACCACACCCGAATGACACGCACATCACCAGCCACAAGTACGCGGCCGAGCGACTGCTGCCAGTCGAACACCATACCGGAGTTGACGTTACTGGGCACCATGTGTGTAAGTGCTCGCCAAGACGAGGCCAGGTTGATGGATTTGTCGGAATCGTAGTTTTGGTAGATTCGGAGGACTCCGTCCGACGAACCAGTCATCAGGAATGCCTGGTCGTCCTCATTGATGAACTTCATGTCACTAATCCTTGACCCTTCAGGATTTCCGTTGGAAAATTTGCTCAGCCGTGCATGCTTCTTCCAATCCCAAACGCACACCGTATTGCCATCGTCTGCAACCGCGAGCTGGTCTTCAAACTGGTGAAATGTGAGTTTGGCAGGTTGCGAGCCATTGTTGGTGATGCCCAACTGATTGTTCCACTTATGGCTACCGGCGAACTGCTTGAGTGGTTGCGTTTCTGTCAAGATGAAGTCGTTCCGGGATCTTCTCCAGAGCCGTTCGTTATACTCAGTGCTGCCAGGCTCGTCCGACTCGCTCGGCTTCATCTGAGGCTCGCAGAAGTACTCAATAGACCACTCTAGGAAAGAACTTTGCAGTGGCATGGCTGGTGCTTCGCCCAGCTTACGATCCTCAAATCCAGTGGAGACAGGCTCTTTGGCAATGTGATAGTTGGCATGGATAGCCGTTGGATCGCTCTGTTCTGGTGGCGCTTCAGCAAGCTCAGGGGCCTTGATCTTCTGGGAGCCAACCCTATGCAGACCGGGCGATGGTGCGGGAGAAGAGTAATTCGGCTTTTCGCTGGCATCGGCCTTTCCATCATTGCCAAATAGCGGCAGCTGGAAAAGCAAGCTTGCCGTGCGACGCAACAGGCCAGGAGATGGCAGTGGTGGAGTAGCCAAAGAGTTGGAAACGCCAATCGCATTACTTCTTTGGCTCAAGTGCAAGTGATTCTTTGTCGACGCACGCTTTGCCCTCTTTCGGATGTCATCGATGAGGCTCTGTGCATGCTCACCAACCGGTGAAGCCATCACAGCTTGGTGGACATGGTCCACAATTACTGTAGCGTCACGCTGAACCTCAGGATGAGGATCAACATTGAGCATCAGAGCGTGCTTCCAGCAGGCTGAGAAGACGGTATTGTGAGCAAAACCGTGAACGTTGGGCTTGATGGTGCCATCTGCATTTCTGTTCTCTTTCCGTGCATAATGCAGGCCCATCTTGTGATCCATGCCATCCTGGCCAGGAGGGAACAGGAGGTATTCCCTTTCTTCTTGAAGCTGTTCATAGGCGGCGACAATGAACTTGCTCTCAAAGCGAAGAATAAACCGTGACAGGAAGACAAGGAACTCGCGACGGACCATTGGACTTCCGTCGTTGGCCATGTCTAGAAGTGTCCAGGCGATGGATTCTTCGATGCGAGCGACCTCATCCGTCAGGTCGATGATGCCCAGGAATGTAGTCATGGAATACACCATGGCAGCTCTGACTTCAGGCACAGGATCCTTTGTCAGAAACGACAATTTGGCCGGCGCATTCTCTCGAATGCCACGCCATTTGGCCTCTGGAAGTTCTTGCCACAGCTGACTGATGCATAAACACGACCACTGACGCAGGAGCGGATTCTCTTGATTCTGCAGGTGCATTAAGCAGTAGGTCATTATGTCGGTTTGGTTGCACACATGCTGCCCTGGCTTGTAGTCCTTGCAGAGCATCGATAGAATGAAAGCGCACATCGCCTTATGCTCAGCTTCGTTAACGACTGGCAAACCCTCGGATGGCTTCAAAATCTGGGCAAAGTAGTTGTATCCGCTGTCCTTGATAAGGTCTTGCTGGCATGAAATATCCACAGCCAGAATGCGGGTCCAAATGAAGATCATGACCGGCTTCAGCTCTGCGGCAGCGGACTGCAACAACTTGAGGACATATGGGAAGATGCCTATGCTCAGGGCAAGCTGGACTGCCCATGGGCCTAAGTCGAGGAATCTTCCGAGCAAGATGAGCGCTCTGACTCTGTGCTGTTGGCTCAGCAGAACTTGCAGTACCACTGGAAGCTGCTCAGGGGGCCTCTGAGAAAGTGCATCTCCACGGGTCAGGTAAACGTCGAATGCTGTCAGCTGTTCGGTGAAAAAGGTTGAGTTCTGGTACTCGTACTCGAGACCTTCGTTCTCCTTTCTCTCCAGCATAGGCAGTTGGGCTAGTGCCATATCCACGGCCAAGTCCCAGCTTGCCCACAATGGGTGCTGCCGGGTCTCAGGGAGCTCAGGAAAAGACTGCGGATGGCACCCATAGACAGACATGATTCTCTGGGCCAGGAGAAAGTTGCGGAAGAGAGCGGCCACCATGAGATCCTGCCTGAAAAACTTTCGGAACAGGTGTCGGGGCAGCGTAGTCCAAGCGATAGTATCCGTGATGGCTGTGAAGATCCAGTTCAACTCGCCGAGTGGCGTTCTTCTCTCCTGTAGCCTACCGGGCAGCTTCTTGGCGCGCTCTGGGGTAAGATTCGTCTTGAGGGGGTTTTGAAGAACGAAGAACCAGAGAGCCATCTCGATAGGGGTAGTGAGACATGCCGTGAATAGATCGGCTGGGAGGAGAGGGTTGGTAGGGAGATTCTCCTTGACACCGCAGGCGGCTAAGTGGATATAGGGCTGAAACACGGTCTTCTCGTAGTTGGGATCTCTCGCGGCAGCTTCATCCTCTTCTTGATCGTGCTTCTCGACAAATCTGTGGTAGTTGTTGAGGATGTTGCCGGCTTCGGAACAGTCCCAGACGTAAATCGTAGGGGCGTGAAGCCACTGTTGAAGATCGTAGAGCGACACTGGGATGTACTGAGTGTAATTCTTATTAAAAACCCAGATCTCGCCACTGGCAGTGGGCTTCGGCACGCCGTGGCCATTGTAATGAAGAAGAACCCGCTCATCCTTTGCGTTTCTACGCAGGGACTGACAGAACTTCTTCGTCTCTTCCACCGACGGATCGAGGTACTGCTTATATCTTGTGCGTATAGCCAGTGTCTCATACTGCGCCTGGAGGGCTTTGCCAATGTTCTCGAGGGCCTTCTGAGGTGGCGGTGTTGTAGGGTCTGTCCATGCTTCCAGTTTGGCGCCCGGGTTCGTCTTAAGCTGGTCGGGAGGCTCGACTGAAATATTAAGGCAGACGGCCAGCGCAGCGGATACTGTCTTGAGTCTATCTCGCATGCGCCAATCCTGCAGCTTGTGTAATGTCGCCTTGGGCTTGCCGGTTGTCTCGTGTCGCTTGTCGGTCCAATACATGTACCAATTCTGGAGAAAGGAGTCAGCACGGCTCAAGATGCGAGTTGAAACCAACGAGTCCCAATGTCGCAAAGAAGCGATGTTATCGCACTCGGGCTCGTCTGGTTCCAAGACTGCCAATACGGTTGCCGGCCCCATCCACCCGGGAGACTGCATCGTCTGAAATGTCTAGATGGGCGTGGAATGTAGATTC